CACCCTGGGGCTCTCACCAAGGTGCCTAGGGGGCTGGGCTGAGCCCCACTTACTGCTTCTCTAATTCCTTCCATGTACTGGTTCAGTCTTGGGAATGCTTAGTCAGGACGAGGGCACCAGCCTTCCCGTTAAAGACTGCAACCTGCGGGAAGAGGAGAGCCTGGTGGGTGGAGGTGAGGCCAGGAAGGGAATCCAGTGTGAAGCACATAGAAGAGTGAAGTACTGACAACATTTTAGACTAGAGCCTGTGGGCCAGGGGCTCTGTCCTGAGAACAAAAGGAAGGTGCTGTTGTAGGCTAGAGGTGGAGGTTTGCCACAGGAGACCACCTTGGGCAGATTCTGTGAAAGCTGTTTGGAAAACTGGACTGTGGGATGGGACGTGTGCCACATAGGTGGGGCTGTCCAAGCAGGGACAGAGTGGGGCAGAGGAGGGTTCTTCAGGACAGGCGATGTTCAGGCTTTCGCTCTGCACACAAGTGCATAGGTCGTAGGCATAGATTCCCTCAACAGGCCCTACTCTCCCTCCTGGCCCTGTGCTGACACCCTGGGGTCTCACCCAGCTCCATCTTCAAGGTTTTTCCTGGGTCTGACCAGTGGGTAGGTGCCCCGGAAACAGGTCTAGGCCTTCACAGATCTCTAGAGCTGGCTTTGGTCTGGTCTGCTGCTACCCACCCCACTGCCCTGTAGCTCAGGCTGGCCACCCAGGGCTGATTTGGTCACTTGAGGCCCTTGACCAGCCAGGCCATTTGGTTGTACTTGAGGTGGGAATTGGGGTCAAGCTTAGATCTGCTTGCCCTCCAAAGCAGGAGGAGCCCTCGTGCATGATCCTGAGTAGAGAGGAGTGGCTGGGGGACTCCCCTTACCTGCTTCTCTGTCATCCAGCACAACAGCTTCTGGGTGGGTGATGTGGTCCGGGTCATCGATGACCTTGACACTGTGAAGCGACTGCAGGCTGGACATGGCGAATGGACGGATGACATGGCTCCCGTGAGTCTTACCGTCTGCTGTCACCACGTCTGTCCCCGCCCCAGCTGCTGTCTGCTCCACTTCCAACCTGTTGTGACCCCACCTCTCCCCAGGCCCTGGGCCGCGTGGGGAAAGTGCTGAAGGTGTTTGGAGATGGAAACTTGCGTGTGGCAGTCGGCGGTCAACGGTGGACCTTTAGCCCCTCCTGCCTAGTGGCCTACCGGCCCGAGGAAGACGCCAACTTGGACGTGGCTGAGCGTGCCAGAGAGAACAGAAGTGCGGCATCAGCCTCAGTGGCCGGTGGGAGGAAGGGCAGCCCCTGGCCGGCACTTACCTCAACCCTGCCCCCAGGCTCACTGAGTGTGGCCCTGGACAAGCTCCGGACCCAGAAGAGTGACCCAGAGCATCCAGGGAGGCTGGTAGTAGAGGCTGCACTGGGAAATGTAGCCCGGGCTCTGGATCTACTGCGGAGGCACCCGGAGCAGGCAAGCTTCCGCCCAGCCCTTCGGAGAGCCAGCAGGGAGAGGGCCTAGAATTCATGTGTTGGCTCTCCGCACAGGTGGACACCAAGAACCAGGGCAGGACCGCCCTACAGGTGGCTGCTTACCTGGGCCAGGTAGAGCTGGTGCAGCTGCTGCTGCAGGCAAGGGCAAGTGTGGACCTGCTGGACGATGAGGGCAACACTGCGCTCCACTACGCAGCTCTGGGGTGAGGCCTGGGCAGGCTGGTGGGTGGGTCCTCTTGGGAATGAACCTTAGAGCCAGTGTGCGTGTAACAGGGTGACCCCAAATCCTCCCATTTCTTCCCGTAGGAACCAGCCTGAGGCCACAAGGGTGCTCCTGAGTGCAGGATGTGGGGTTGATGCTCGAAATGGCACACGCAGCACAGCCCTGCATGTGGCTGTGCAGAGGGGCTTCCTAGAGGTGGTAAAGACCTTGTGTGAGCGTGGTTGTGATGTCAACTTGCCGGTGAGTGAGAGTCCTGGACGCTCTGCTCTCTGCTAACCAGCCCTAGGTCAAGGAAGCATCTTGACCTTGGACAAAGGCACCCCTGTGTGACCAGCGCCGTCTGTTTCAGGATGCTCACGCGGACACACCCCTGCATTCTGCCATCTCTGCAGGTGCCGGTGCCAGCAGCATTGTTGAAGTCCTCACCGAGGTGCCTGGTATCGATGTCACTGCTACCAATAGCCAGGGCTTTACATTGCTGCACCATGCGTCCCTCAAGGGCCATGTGCTGTGAGTGTGCCAGGCTGTCCCGACTGAGGGCACTCAGGTCTGCAGAAGACCTTGGACAGACCGACCTCCTTGTTCCTACAGGGCAGTCAGAAAGATTCTGGCACGGGCAAGGCAGCTGGTGGATGCCAAGAAGGAGGATGGCTTCACCGCACTGCACCTGGCAGCTCTCAATGACCACCGTGAGGTGGCCCAGGTCCTAATCCGAGAGGTGGGTGCAGGGGACCCTGGGCCACCCACAGGCCAGGAACCAGACCCAGCGGGGTCTGGAAACTGAGCCCGTGCCTCACCCCCTTTCCCCAGGGCCGTTGCGATGTGAACGTGCGCAACAGGAAGCTCCAGTCTCCGCTGCACCTGGCTGTGCAGCAGGCCCACGTGGGGCTGGTTCCGCTGCTGGTGGATGCCGGCTGCAGCGTCAACACTGAGGATGAGGAGGGAGACACAGCCCTGCACGTCGCTCTGCAGCGGCACCAGCTGTTGCCGTTGGTGTCTGACAGGGCTGGGGGGGACCCAGGGCCCTTGCAGCTGCTGTCGAGGGTGAGGGGCTGGGCAGGAGGGCCTGGGTGATTTTCCACTTCCCACTGTGCTCTAGGGAACCAGGATTTCTGGACAGTGGGGCAGTTTGGAGGACTTCAGTTTCAGGATCTGTATTGGAAAAGGGTTGGGATCTGGTTGGGACGAGAGGATGAAGGGTCTCAGAGTTTCTACACCTACCTAGCGAAGGGTACCTTTGGGGCCTGTCTTCTCCCCTCTTCCTAGAACCAGAAGCCTTAGCCCAGAAGGGGTGTGTGCGTGCCCCATTGTTCAGATTTCTGGGTCAGCCTGGGGCCAGCAGAGGCTTTCCTCAAGTCTGCGTGGGTGTCCGCCCTTATCTGTACTGTACGTTCTGCCGCTCAGCTACAGGCCTCAGGCCTCCCAGGCAGCACAGAGTTGACCGTAGGCGCGGCAGTGGCCTGCTTCTTGGCACTGGAGGGTGCTGACGTGAGCTACGCAAACCACCGTGGCAGGAGCCCACTGGACCTGGCCACGGAAGGCCGAGTGCTCAAGGCTTTGCAGGGCTGTGCCCAGCGCTTCCGGTGAGCCCAAAATGGGGGTGTGGAGGGGGGGCACTGCTAAGGCCACCGGGTCCTTTCAAGCCCCCTCCTCCAACTGCAGGGAGCGACAGGCAGGTGGCAGTGGGGGTGTGCCCCCGGGCCCCCGGCACGTGATGAGCACCCCTAACACCGTGACGAACCTGCATGTGTCTGGCACGGCAGGGCCAGAAGCTGCCGAGTGCTTGGTGTGCTCGGAGCTGGCACTGCTGGTTCTGTTCTCGCCGTGTCAGCATCGCACCGTGTGTGAGGGTGAGTGCAGGTTGTGGAGGCCCAGGGTGGCCCGGCCGCCTCTTCCGGCCCGGCCCCACTAACGGTACGCTGCCCCTGCTGGCAGAGTGCGCTCGGAGGATGAAGAAGTGCATCAGGTGCCAGGTGGCCATCAGCAAGAAGCTGCGCCCAGGTGTGTGGGAGGGGCTTGGCGCACGCACGCCCTCCTCGCCAGAACCCAATCTTCACACCTCCTGTGGCGTGGCTGACGCCCACTCACCTCACCCCACAGATGGCTCAGAGGTGGTAAACACCATCCAGGTACCCGGTCCTCCTCGGCAGCTGGTGGAGGAGCTCCAGAGCCGCTACCGGCAGATGGAGGAGCGCATCACCTGCCCCATCTGCATCGACAGCCACATCCGCCTAGTTTTCCAGTGCGGCCACGGGGCATGCGCGCCCTGTGGCGCCGCGCTCACCGCCTGCCCCATCTGCCGCCAGCCCATCCGAGACCGCATTCAGATCTTCGTGTGAGCGCATTCAGCACACCGTGGCGGATCCCAGACCCTTCAACAAAACACGTGTATTTTATAAAAAGATTCTCGGACTTTGCTGCCTGCTCCTTGCCTAGCGATGCTGGACAGGCCCCAGCGATCCTCACCATTCCCAGCAAACTCTCCCCGCCCCCAAAACACATACAGCGCTTGAAGCCCCAGGCTGCCTGTAGGTCAGGAACACTCACTGGTTGTCGTACAGGCCACTTAGAGTGATTTGGCTGTGGTTTGACACAGGAGGGTCCCGGAACCCACACGGTGCTCCAAAAGGCTTAGGGTGGCCCCATTTTCGCCCCCATGGGGGCCCACCATACTTGCCTCTGCCCCTGTGCCCGTCCCTTCCTCCGCCCGCCCCACCCCCCAGGCGGAACTTAGACTACTTGGATTTTGGCCAAAGCAGTCTCCCCTTTCAGAGGGTCCTGGCTCAGGAGTGAGAGGGTAGGAGGCCGCCAGGCTCTTGGCAGTTGATCAGGGGCAGAGGGAAGACGCAAGAAATGGTCCACTTGTTGGAACAAATACTTAGTAATGAAAGGAGGGCAGATGGCTAACGCTTTTCAAGAACTTCCAGCACAGCTATTCCGGGCAGCTTGGCGCTGACTCTGCTGGCCAGTACATTTGTTGCTGTCACCCAGGGCCCAAAGCCGGCATGGGAGACTGGGAGGGACAAGGCGTCTGGCTGGGAGCCCCTCCTTCCTCAGCCGGGCTCTTACCCCCTGCTCTCCGTGTCTCACCCACCCAGTCTGCTCCGCCCTGGGGATCTTAGCTGGGCCTGGCATCACTTGAGTTACCATGCCACGCTCATTGGGCACACACCCAGTACAGCCACCGGCTGCCAGGTCTACCCTTCAGGGCTCGGACCATCGCTCCTAACCTTCTACCCCCCCCCCCCCCCCAAGCCAGAACTCTATCGGGCCACCACACTCAGTGCCTGATTTTGTTTCGGTCACCCCCTCCCCTCTAAGCCTGAGCAGGAATTCCGGGTCCTGGCACTCTCCCCAGACCTCCCGCTCTGGTCCAACGAGAGCACCTTCTGCTCCAAGTAGATCCTTTCCCAGATGTCCTAAGGACCCCCACAGACCTCCTACGCCCTGTCTTTCCTGAGGCCCCTTCTCTACTGCAGTCTCTCCCGTCTGCCCCGCTCAACCGTATTCTCACTGCCACGTCCCCTGCCTCTGCACTCCCCTCTGTGTCCTGGTTCCACTCAGTCACTGCGGGGACCAAAACCGAGATTTCCCTCGCGGACTCATTGTGAGGGGGTAAAGCCAAAAAGTCATTCAGCCCCAACCAGGTGGGCATGGGGAGCAATAGATGCCCCTTCCCCAAATCTGAGCCCTGGCGCCTTACTTGTTCCTAGCCGTTTCTCCCGTTCTGATAGAAGACATCCCCCATTATTCGGGCGGGCGTTCAGGCCACTGTCACCGACCCTAAGACCTGGTTCCTGGAACCCCCTAAGGGACGAGGATCGTTCCGGATGGGCCAGCTGTTTCACTTCACAGGCCAGCGCCGGGTCCTCGCCCCACGAGGGCTGTAACTCGAGCCGCTCGTCGCCAACCCCCCTCCCACTCCGCCCCAACTCTGCGGCCCAAGTCCCTGCGTCGCGCTGCCCCTTGTGGCCCTGATCCCGACAGCAAGTCTGCCATGGGCTGCCCAGCCTGCGTCCATCTGGAGGTATCGGGTGCTGTACAACAGGGCCGCTGGTTCGGGGCTGTCCTGAGCGGGTTGTGCTTTCTCTCCGCGCTGGTGTTGCTGGAGTGGCCACGGGTGCCGGCAGAAACCGCCTGGAGTGCAGCGGTGAGCTGGTTCGCATCTGAGGGTCTGTCAATCAGTGGGCCCATCTGTAAGGGGGCGTGTGGGCCTGGGTGTGAGTCCTTAGTTCCAGGCACCCTCAATCAGTGTGTCCAGGGGTCGCTGGTGGGAGGCAGCGTCCGTCTCCAGCTCTGCTCACTCTCACCGGATTTTTATTTATTTATTTATTTGAGACAGGGTTTCTCTGTGTAGATTTACTTGTGGAACTCGCTCTTTAGGCCAGGCTGGCCTCTGTAGACCACCTCCACCTCCAGAGATTAAAGGCACCAAGCCTGCCTCGTGTAGCTCTGAACAACCCCCCCCCCTTTTTTTTCTTTTTCTTTTGGAGACAGGGTTTCTCTGTGTAGCCTTGGCTGTCCTGGATCTCCGTAGACTAGGCTAGCCTTGAACTCTCCACTCTCAAGGGTGGGGAGTAAAAGCAACTCATCAAGTGTGGGAAAGCAAAAAAACCCCGAGGGTTCATTCGCAATTTTCCCCACTCCATTGCCTAACAAGCCATCTCTCAGCAACTATTTTGGGAACCACAGACTCTCCTGCCTCCTCAAACCCACTTTTTTCCCGTGAAGAGAAATGTAGACGCACCAGACCCTTCAGGGGTCTCCACTGTCCAGGTCCCCAGCTTGTTGACCATACCGGTACCCCGAAGACGCCGGTACACGCTAACACCGGCCAGGCTGCGCTGGAACCACTTCAACCTCACCTACAGGTGCCACCCGGGAAGGAGGGCGGGTGGTCAGGCCACACCGCAGACACTGCCTCCGACACTCTCAATACCCCACCCCCAGGATTCTCTCCTTTCCCCGGAACCTTTTAAACCCGGAGGAGACCAGGAAGGGCCTGGCTGCCGCCTTTCGCATGTGGAGTGAAGTTTCCCCGTTCCGCTTCCGTGAAGTGGCCCCCGAGCATCCCAGCGACCTCCAGATAGGTGGGTGGGTGACTGAAGCGCTCCCGCCCCGCCCCCGGTCCGCACAGGTGTGACCGCAGCCTTGTCTTCCTAGGTTTCTACCCGGTCAACCACACCGACTGCTTGGTCTCTGCCCTGCACCACTGCTTTGATGGCCCCACAGGTGAACTGGCCCACGCTTTCTTCCCACCCCACGGGGGCATCCACTTTGATGACAGCGAGTACTGGGTCTTGGGCCCCACGCGCTACAGCTGGAAGAAAGGTGATCCAACTCCTTGGTCTGAACTCTTCCTGGGGCCCCAATCTCTCCACCATGTAGGCTACAGAGGGTTTTGGGGTAGGAAGGATTTCCTGGGGCTGAATATTTGAGAGGAATTCTGGTTCTCACAGGCCCGTCTCCCCCCCCCCCCCCTCGTCTCCTCCCCCAAGCCGCTGGAGAGGGAGCTGGAGCTGCATTCCTGAGGGCCAAGCTCACAGCCTAGGCCGGGAACAAACTTATCTTCCTTGGCTGTGGGCTAAGGGTGACTTGCAGCTGGGCCTCCCCATCAGCGCTGGGTCTCAAAGAGCGAGACTGGGAGCGAAAGGGCTGAGGGCTCCCAAGCACTAACCATGGGGCCCACAGGCGTATGGCTCACAGACCTGGTGCATGTGGCGGCGCACGAGATTGGCCATGCGCTCGGACTGATGCACTCACAGCAAGAGCAGGCGCTCATGCACATCAACGCCACCTTGAGGGGCTGGAAGGCACTGTCCCAGGATGAGCTGTGGGGATTACACCGACTCTACGGTGGGTGCCTTGGGGCAGGTGGGTGTCAGACGGATGGAAGGGCTCTAGGCAAGCTCTGAGCCATGCTGCCTTGCTCTCCTGTTAGGCTGCCTGGACCGGCTCTTTGGGTGTACATCCTGGGCACGAAAGGGATTCTGCAATACCCATCAGAGGCTCATGAAGAGGCTCTGCCCCAGAAGCTGTGACTTCTGCTATGGTGATGGAGGCTCAGATGAGGTTGGGTGGGAGTTCTCGTGAGCCTGTTTGGGGTTGGATGGGGTTAAGCACTGACGTGGCATTTCACCATTCTCCAAGCAGAATTCCCATTCCCCACTGTCGCCGCCACCACACCACCCACCAGAATGAAAACGAGATTGGTCAAAGAGGGCAGGAACATGACCTTCCACTGCGGGCAGAAGATCCTACGCAAGAAGGGCAAAGTATAGTGAGTGAACAGCACTGGGCAGGCATGGCCAGAGGGGCTTGGGGCTGCCTGGGGTGCCCCGGTGGGTATATCCTGGGGCCCTTGGCCTGGGTAGGGATGCAGGAACCTCCCTCTGCAGCTGGTACAAGGACCAGGAGCCCCTGGAGTTCTCCTACCCCGGCTACCTGGCCCTGGGCGAGGCACAGCTGAGCATCATTGCCAACGCAGTCAACGAAGGCACCTACACGTGTGTGGTGCGCCGGCACCAGCGTGTGCTCACCACCTACTCCTGGCGCGTGCGACTGAGGAGCTGAGCCTGCTAACAGCCAGCAGATAAAGCACTTTCTCTCTGATGTCTCTGTGCTGTTTCATGGGAAGAGGGAAGGTCAGTCTCTGCCATCTGGATGTGGGGGTGCTGGGGTCAGTACTCACTTATTTCTGCTTTGCCAACCTGGCCCCTGGAGCAGTGGGGTAAAATGAAACCCAGGGGTCGGCAGCATCCCCTAGGGTGTGTGAGAGGGATGTGGGCTCTAGGTGAGGCTTCAGTGTGGAGAGGCTGAGACCAGCGTGGACAGAGGTAGGGGCCCCAAGCAGTCACAAGCACTTAGGGCCCAGCTGGGAGCCAGCATGATGGGGAAAAAGAAGACATACAAAAGCTTCCTTCAAGAATAGTTTACTACTTAAAACATCTAACAACCTCATGTATAAAAACCCACTGTGGCTAAAGTCATCCCATACCTGGTTCTGAGAGCCAAAGCCTGTGGTGGATGGGTCTGGCTTAGTTCCACTGGCCTCCCAGACCGACAAGCAGACAACTCCAGCTCGCTCCAGACCGGCCTCACTACGCGGAGGGGTGGACCATCTACTCTGGCGCCTCCAGATGCTCACCCTTTTTCACGAGGCAAGTTAGACAACTCTGAAAACTCTTTCCTTTCCAGAAGGAAAAATGTGATTTAATTCTACAAATTTTCAACCCACCCCAAAACAAACAACATGAAAGAAAAAAAAAAAAAAGAAAGAAAGAAAGTTGCCCTGATTCATGTCTGCCTGTCACCAATCTAGCTGGCCAAGGTCAGTCACTCTGACTCAGAACTTGAGACTGAAGCCAGGGCCAGCAGCTGAAGCTCCCTGGTTGGTGGTGGTGAGGTGGAAGCCCGTCTCCTTCAGGTCGTCATCACCCAGCTGGCTGTAGCCCAGGCCGCCCTCAGGGGGCCGTGGACTGGTGCCTCTCTTCACCCTCTGCTGCTCACTCTTGGCGGGCCATGTGGGGAACATGGACGGGTCAATGGGGAGGGGGGTCTCTCGGAAATACTCGTGTTTCAGGCCGTCTTCTGCACTGATCCTCCTCCCAGGGTAGTAGGTCAGGAACCTGAAGAGAACGACATAGGAGATCAGGGCACACGCGGCCATCACAGACAGAGCCAAGCCTCTTGGTGGAAACTTGTGGGGCTAGGTTGAGAAGATGAGACCCACTGGGCCTCAGCGTCTCCGACAACCTGGTATTCTGGGGGCTTCTAGGCCCCATGGCAGTTCTGCAAGAGAAATCAGCCTGGAGCCCAGTGGCTGCCAACTATGCCACCCTCAGACTTACTTGTTCATGAGATCAAAGCCCTGATCTGATAACAAAGCCCCAAATCGCTTGCGGAGGTTGTTATAGGGATACTCGCTAAAGGTCATCTTCTTGACTGCTGGGAGGTCATTATAGCCTGGCCAGATTTTCTCGCTGGGAGTTCCCAGGTCCTGAAAAACAGGGATGTCTGAATTAGACATGCCCTTCATGGTGCCCACATGTCACTTCTTATCAGAGAGGCCACCAAAAGACCACCGTGGCTGGGGTCCCAATCCTGATCCCAGTTCTGCATACACACTGCAAGTTGTTCTCTGGAAAGACAGGCCATCCCTAACACTCACCTTGAAAACCTTGTTGATCTGGTCGATGTCTGACTTCCCGGGAAACAGAGGCTTCTGTGTCAGCAGCTCTCCAAAGATGCAGCCCACTGACCACATGTCCACAGCCGTAGAGTACTCCTAAAGTCCAGAGCACAGGGTTCAGACGCCTGAGGCTCAGGGTCAGCCACAGGCTTGCTCTCAGACCCCTCTTTAAACCCACCTTAGCACCGAGCAGCAGTTCTGGGGCGCGATACCACAGGGTGACGACCACTGGAGTGTAGGCCTTCAGGGGTGAGCCATACTCCCGAGCAAGCCCAAAGTCACCCACCTGTAATAGAGACAGGCGGCCTGTAAGAGCTGTAGGACAGGGCTCCGGGAGTAGGGTGGGGTAAGGGAAGTATGGTGCTCACCTTGAGAATGCCAGCGTGGCTCAGCAGAAGGTTGGAGGTCTTAAGGTCACGGTGCAGGATCCAGTTGTCGTGGAGGTGTTTCACCCCACTCAGCAGTTGGATCATCAGGGTCTTCACTTCCCCTGTGGGAGTAATGAGGTCACACACATGCTTCCTTTGCCCCATAAGCTCCCAACACCCCTGCAAAAGGGCCCAGAACTCAGGGTTATCTGTGTAGCCCAGCAGCAACTAGACTTCTGGGGGTGGGTGGGGCAGGTTCATCCCAGGAACACTCCCAGCCCAGGGTGACTCTGAGCTCATACAGACAGGATCACATGTGCTCTGTCCGGGGGGGGCGTGCAGCCATACCTGGCAGGAAGGGCTGCTTCATAGTCTCCATTAGGCTCTTGAGGTCATGTTCAACATAGTTCATCACGATGTAGATCTTGTCCATGTTGCTTCCCACAACGATTTCCTAGGAATTAACAGTCGATCTATGGGTTCTGGTGTGGTTTCTACCTCCACCCCCACCTGGCAAACACTGATTCTGGACCTACTAAGACTTCTTGGGAAGCCGGTATCATTGGAACTGCTAACACCTGATCCTACAATGCCGGAACCTTCTCCCTGTCCCTTCAAGGGATAAACCTCCCACACAGGCAGGGCATGCCAAATGTGGAGACTGAGCCTCACTCTGACAGTGACGATATTGGGGTGCTGGGCCTTGAGGATGGTGTTGATCTCCCTCAGCGACGTGATTGGGAAGCCTTCCTTCTCCTTCTCCATCTTTAGCCGCTTCAGAGCTACGATTTCATCTGTAAAGAAAATTGTGTAACCTGGGTATGGTGGCTCATGCTTGTAATCCCAACACTGGAGAAGCTGAGGCAGAAGGAATGCCACACATCTGAGGCCAGAGAGCGGAACAATGTCTCAAAAACCAAAACCAAACCAAAACACCAACATAGTCAGATATAGTGAAATATGCCTTCAATCTCAACATCTGGGAGTAGAGATAGATCTCAGTGATTCCAAGGTCAGTCTGATCTACATGGTGAGTTCCAGGGTTACATAGAAAGGGCTGTCTCAAACCAACCAATCACGTAAACGCAAACTGAATTCAGGAACACATTAAAAAGATAATCCACCATGATCAAACTGGCTTTTTATCCAAATACGCAGGGATGGTTTGATATAAAAATCAATAAATGTGATAAATTACATGGCTATCTTATAGATGCCAAGAAAGGCTTTTTGACAAAATCCAACATCTTTCATGTTAAAATTCCTGAAGGAACATCTCAATGTGGTAAGGGATAAATGTGCTACATTTACAATTAACATTATATTAAATGAGAGAAACTCAAAAGCATTTCCAGGGCTTGGTTGGAGATGGCTCAGCAGTTAAGAGTATTTACCACCCTTTCCGAAACCCAGGTTGATCCCAGTGCCAACATGGTCAATTACAGCCATCTTAACTGTATTTCCAGAGGACCCGATGTCCTCTTCTAGCCTGAGGCACCAGGCATACACACGGTACATAGGTAATCATGCAAGTTAAAACACTCATACACATCAAAAAACAAATAAACATTTCCACTGATATGAGGAACAATACAGGGAGCCCACCACTCTTATTCCATATAGTACCACAAGCCTTAAAAAAAAGAATATAAATAAGAAAATCAAAATATCTCTATTTACAGATGTTATGATTATAAATCAGTAATAGTTGTATGGTTGTCCTGGCTAGTTTTATGTCAAATCGACACAAACTGGAGACATCTGAAAGGAGGGAGCCTCAACTGAGAAAAATGTCTCCATAAAGCATTTTCTCAGTTAGTGATACCACCATATATGTACCACCACCAGCTGTAGGAAACCCAGCCCATTGTAGGTAGTGCCGTCCCTGGGTTCTATAAGAAAGCAGGTTGAGCAAACTAGTAAGCAGCACCTCTCCATGGTCTCTGCAACAGTTCCTGTCCCGACTTCCAACAGTGATGGTTGACTGTTGGGGGGAAACCAGGAACACACAGCGGTGCCTTCTCAGTGAAGGAGGTAAAACACCCACATTCTATCCAGAAGGCAAAGAGCCTTGGTGACCTCCACTAGCTCTAGCTGCAGACCTCACCCAACTTCCCAGAATGTTTACCCCAGACCCTCCCTCCCTAGACTGTTATCTTTAGCTCCCAGCTAAACCTGTCCTTAGGGCGATGTCACACTTTATTCTATAGCCTGCTGATCTCTATGCTATGCGAGACCACACTAGACCTTTTAGCCAGCCAGAGAGCCCACCCTCACGGTCACTTGTACTTTGGAAAGGCATTTCTGTGTAGTTAAACCTTAAGCTTTATGTGTACCTAGAATTGGAATGATTGTTGCCTAGAAACTTTCCCCCAAATTGTACTGTTTTAAATATGTTGACAATGAACCACCTACATTAGACTTCCCTAAGTCTAGACCAGGTTGACAAGTCGATCTGAATCAAGTTTTATTCTATCTCTTCTCGGATCATTGCCTGTATGAACACCTGCAGGATCCCAGTAAGATTATAATGTGGAAGTGTAAAACCCTTTCCTCCCCAGCCGGCTTTTTGTCATGGTCTTTCATCACCAAAGTTGTAACCCTAATAAAATAAGATAACAGGAGACACTAAAGACTCCACAAGATACTCCTTTTCAGGAAAGTGGTGGGAGACAAACTTAACACATAAAAATCAATAGCCTTCCCATATACCAATGGCAAATACACTGAGAAAGATACCAGAAAAATAATTCCATTCACAACACCTTTGACCCCAGTGCTTCTGGAGGCAGAGGCAGGTGGCTCTCTAGGAACTGGAGACAATCTAGGTTAGCCCCAACGAACAAACAAAAACAATCTCCACCTTGGGATAAACTACACAAAAGATATGAGAACTCTGAAAGGAAATTAAAAAGATTTGGGGCTGGAAAGATGGTTCAGTGGTGAAGAGCACCCACTGCCTGTAACTCCAGATATAGGAAGATTCAATTCCTCTGCCCTTTCTAGGCTCCTGCACACAAAGCTAAATGTACACAAACGTACACACACACCGATAATTAAAAAAAAAAAAACTTTAAAAAAAGAAAAAAAAAAGGCCGGGCAGTGGGGGCAGACACCTTTAATCCCAGCACTTGAAGCAGAGGCGGGCGGATCTATGAACGGGGGGGGGGGCGGGGGGGGGCGGGAGCAAAAAAACAATCTTAGGATCTTAGGGTTCATACGGAAGCCGGGCAGTATCATGTGATGCTTCAGTCTGTTAAGACACTGAATTAACATGCTCTCCTTTGTCTTCTCCAACTGAGGAAGAAGTAGGGAGTACACTTCAAAATACAGGCATAGGTAAGGACTCTGAATAGCATCTGGATCACTTGAGGCCAATAACAGAGAAACGGAATCTCCAGAAGGAGGGGTTCCCATCATAGGGGAAGAGCAGGCTTTAATGTGGGCAGGGGACAGAATACATGCGATCTGATATTAAATCTAGGGGAGAGCTGGAGGCAGAAGCAGGTGGTCCACAGAAGGAGTTCCAGACAGTCAGGGCCACATAGTGAGATTATGCCTCAAAAAAAAAACAAAAAAAAAAAAAACAAAGAAAAACAACAACAACAAAACTACTAAGGGTATACTTGGGGTTAGAGAGGAAAGAACGAGGAGTAAGTTAACAAAAACTACAGAAGTATGAAAAATCCTCATGGACACATACTATTTTGAAGGATGACTAGATTTTACAGTTTTAGCTCATTTTATGCATACAGGTATTTCCCCTGCACGTATGCTGTGTCCCACAGAGGCCAGAGGACTGAATCCCTTGACCCTGGAGTTGAACAGCTGAGAGCCACCACATGAGTGCTGGGAATCAAACCAATCTCCAGACCCTTTATCAGACAACACAGGTTTCTAACAAGGGAGTCTCCCTGGCATGGCCTGGGCATGACCCGACTGTTACACCTACCGACAGGCCCTACGAGGACGGACAGTGCTGCTCAGAGAAAAATGGGTTATGAAATGAAAACCAAGCGCTGGGTACGGGTATCTCCCTACAAGTTAGTGCTCATGAAGGCCTCAGAAGTCCCAAAACACAAGACAGACTATTGCTAATTCTCTTAGTTTCCCAACATAAAAAGATGGTGAGACCTTACTGCTGAATACAGCATACACTCTGAGTTCAGGACATCAAGACACCAGGCTGGAACTGACCAGGGAGGAAACTTTCAGTGTTGGGAGACGCTATGCAGGCTGCTGGGGAAGAGACAGCACTCACGGGCTTCACCCTTCACAGTGCTGAACCCTGCATGCCATAACACCAACTTGCAGACAAAATGTGCCCACTGGAGCAATAGAAACATGACTGTTACGGGGTATCCAATGGATTTCGGCATAGATTTCTCCACAGAATAGAATTTATACCCGATGCAGTAAATCTGCTCATGACTGGGAAAGGCCTAAGCCCAAGGAGGGAACTTATTATTGTTGTTTTGCTAAATGCTCTCATTGTCAAACCGTCTTCCAAATATTTATTTTTATACTCATGAGTTAGTGCTGCTTTTAACCTTGGTCAGAGAAGTTTCTTCTGGCAGTGGTTGATGCAGAGACCCATAACTGCTCAGGCCTAAATGGGACACTTAGACCATCCTCAGTCCCACGTTCCAGGAACATCACAAAGAGGAGGAGGAAAGAACAGAAGAGCTGAAGGAGGAAGAGTGCTATAAAATGCCATCTTTAGACACAACAAGGCTCTGTGTTCATGAGCTCACAGCAGCTGGTTACCCACACAAGATCAAGCTGTCACCATTTCAACATTTAGGAGGGCTCATGAGACCCCTCCCGAGTGGAAAAGCTATTACTGCCAGTTGATAGCATCTGGGTAGGGAGAGCTATTTTCTTCCTAGGTGTGGTCTATGGTTGGCAGCTTGTGCTCCAGTGGATGGACCCACACCCAGGAACACGCTGGTAGCACTAACTGAACCGACTTAGATAGGAAATTGGGGAGGGGGTGTGTGAAAAGAGAATATGTTGGGGGCTGACATAATCAAGATATTTTACATACAATTGCAAAATTGTCAGAGGATAAATTTTAAAAAAATCATGTAGCCGGGTGGTGGTGGTGGTGGTGCATGCCTTAATCCCAGCACCCAGGAGACAGAGGCAGGAGGATCTCTGTGAGTTCAAGGCCAGCCTGATCTAGAACAGTTAGCTCCAAGACAGCAAGAGCTGTCACACAGAGAAACCCTGTCTTGAAAAGACAAACAAACAAACAAACAAAAAACCAAAAAGAAAAAAACATAATATAAAGGAGCTGGAGCAATGGTTCAGCAGTTAAAGAGAGTTTTGCTGCTGTTCTTCCAGCAGTGGTGGCGTAGGCCTTTAATCCCAGCATTCAGCTTCAAGAGTTAGTTCCCGGACAGGCTCCAAAGCTACAAAGAAACCCTGTCTTGAAAAACAAAACAAAACAAAACAAATCCCAGCACTTGAGAGGCAGAAGCAGGTGGATCTCTGTGAGTTCAAGGCCAGCCGTGTCTAGTTGCAGGAGAGACTCCAAAGTTATAAGAAACTCTGTCTTGAAAACCTAAAACAACCACAAGTTCCGAGTCTTGTGTCTTAGCACCTGTGCTGAGTGGCTCACAGTTTGCTGTAATTGCAGGTTCTAAGGACCCCAATAACCGTTTGTGGCCTCTGTGGGCATCCCTCCTCCCCATGTATACACATAAATGCAATAAATCATGTAAGGGGCTGGAGAGATGGCTCAGAGGTTAAGAGCACTGGTTGCTCTTCTAGAAGTCCTGAGTTCAATTACCAGAACCACATGGTGGCTCACAGCCATTTATCAGATATGGTGCCCATATCTGGTGTACAGGTGTACACGCAGGCAGAACATTGTATACATAATAAATAAATCTTAAACAACAACAAAACCAACCAAACAAACAAAACCCCAAGCAGCTGAGAAAACAGCTCTAGGTGTGTTGGCATACACCCTTAATCCCAGCACTCAGGAAGACCCTGCAAGTTTAAAGCCAGCTTGGTCAATGTAGAAAGTCCCAGGCCAACCATGAGTATTCAGGGAGACCCTGTCTCAAAAATAATAAGACAAGCCAGACATGGTGGTACATTATCTCTAATCCCACCACTTGGGAGGCAGGCAGATGAAGGCCATTCTGGTCTGCACAGGGAGTCCCAGGCCAGCCAGAGATACACAGTATAAGAACCTATATCAAAAAAAGTAACTAAAGAACAGTAAAAGCGCGGGGTGGTGGTGGCGCATGCCTTTAATCCCAGCACTCGGGAGGCAGAGGCAGGCCAGCCTGGTCTAAAGAGCTAGTTCCAGGACAGGAACCAAAAGCTATGGAGAAACCCTGTCTCGAAAAATAAAAAAAAAAAAAAAAAAAAAAAAAGAACAGTAAGTCCAGGCAGATAATATAATAAAATGGGTGAGTGCTTAGAATCCCAGCACTGCAATAAAAATAAAAGGAAGAACCCCTAACTTATGGGGCCCATTAATGTCACTTCCCAGGCCTTTCATCCCTCATCCAGGAACTTGCCACCTGCTGTCGTGGGCAGCAGGACACCAGTCAGGCTGCTGACCTCTGGCTTCTGAAGAAACGTCTGAGTTAAGGCTTGGCGTCAGGTATGTAAGTATAGAGAGGACTGAGAACTTCTAAGGATCCAACGGAGCATGCGAATGTGAGTCCACGTCTAACAACCACGTGCTGGCACATGGCACAGCACACTGCAGGCCAGCTGCAGACCAGCTGCGGGCAAGGCGCTCAGCCTGCCTTCCTGAGTCTGCACGAAGACCAAGGAAGGCTCGCCAAGGGAACCACTGCCTGCTAGAACTCCCAAGACTGACCTTGTACCAACACATGGGCAACCAACTCGGTAGGCCAGAGCCTTCTGCTGACTAGTCCCTGTCCCTCAATAGATAGCCCACCTGTTTTCTTGTCCTTTGCTCTGTAGACCACTCCATAGGTGCCTTCTTCAATCCTGTTCAGGCACTGGAACTCCTCTACACTCCGGCAGCCCTGTGGAGGAGGTAGGCATATTTGACAGCACTTTGTACAGGACAGGTGTCCTGGAAAACTAGCCTAAGTAACTTCAGAAGAGCTAAGCATGCATTGATGGTGCGAATAGAAACAACTTGTTCTTTTCTGTTTCTTCCGAGACCACCCACCCACCACTTTTCTATTAATTGAACTGGCATGAATAGAAGCATCCTCTTCCTGGTGAACTACGCCACCCTACAGAGGTGCCAACCTTCCATGCATACCATGGACTGGAATACCACCACTCTGTGTGGTCTGTAGCTAGACTCAACTGTTTGGAAATGCTAACTTACTGGAGGGCAGGTGATAGGGCTCATGGTAGTGGTCAGGCACTCAGGATGACCACACCCTCTAAATCTTCCAGGCAGTGTCAAATACTCACTAGTTTTTTCCTAAACAAAAATTTTCAGATCTATGCACTCAGGCTAAATCCCCTGCCCTATCTAGGGATCAAGCCAGGCATAAGGAAGGACCACGTCTGGAATCACGACTAGCCAGACTGTATGGAGAATGTCAGCATCTCAGGAGCCACATCAGCACCAAAAGCATCGTTCCCTTCTGTAGCACCTACTGCATCTGTAGATGGGAGAGGTGGGGCGGGGTCTGACCTGCAGGGCTGGCAGGTACTTGGGCAGCTCTTGTTTTAGTTCAATGGGCGACAGGGCTGGGGAGTCAGGCACGTAGTCTCCTTCCGTTGGGGCGCTGCTCTGTGGGGTCCCCTCGCCCACTTCTTCTTCCCCTTCTTCACTGTCCCCAGAATCTCTGTCAAATCGTGACTCTGGAACTTTAAGAGTTAAATCTAATTACAGACCAAGAGAAAGTAAGTGCAGCCATCCCTCCTCCTGCTCTGGGGCTAAGTGTTACAGGAGTGGCACACCCTGTGTTCTCCATACGGAGCCAGCACAAGGCCATCCCTGGGAAAAGGTACTGGAGTGAGGCCTGTAGCCCTCGTGATACAGGTAAAGTCGGAATCTGAGCCAGGACCAGATACTGGGCTCATATGGGATGAGGGCAGATGCCACGCGAAGTGGGTAGACCCAGGACTCATGCCCCCCCAAGCCACCAGACCCAGAAACTGCTCCCCAACACAACCTCATTCCCCCTGAGCACAAAATCCTGGGCTCCCTCGGGATCTAATCCACAGTGGGCACAGAGAAGGATGCCATCCATATAAAGATGTTTCCTGTCAAGTAATGTCAGCCATGGTGAGCACAGGCTGCAAAATGACCGAAGATGTGTCCCTGGGAGTCACACACACCGTCTCTCAGATCGCACTGCCAGGACAGCAGCTCTCCAGTTTCCAGGGACATTGCTGAGTTCATGGGTTATTATGGGCTGTGGTTGGTTTGTATTAACAGGGCCAGGTTCTACCATAAGGAGCTCCTTACCAACCAAGATGTGGTTCTCATTTTCTCTGTCTTCGTCCTCACTCATTTCCTCCTCACTCACTTCTTCTGCAAAGGAGAACAGGCGTGTGCTCAGTCAGCACGGAGCTGAGAGCGGGACTGGGAACCGCAAGCTTGCCCTGTCTCAGGCCGACCTGATCGTCAGCAAGAGGTCTGGAAAACAGCAAGTGGTCTTACCTACCAATCTGGGGGTTTATATTTCTGGTGGTATTGGGGATTGAACCCAGGGCCTCACACACACTAGGCAAGCACTTTACTATTGAGCCACATTTCCAGCCCCAATTCTGGAGCCAATGTGAATTTCACAAAGAAAGGCAACTTTATTTGCACACATGCTTACATTAGACTTTTAAATTATTTTTCTGCAGTACATAAACTGTATAGTGAGCATAAATTACTTTTACATCAATGCAACCCATATGGCTTGCCAGGTACTCACCTGCAGACTGCTCTGAGGCTTCCTCAGAGTTGCTCCCAGTCTCTTCTTCCTCCTCCTCCTCGTCTTCCTCCTCTTCTTCCTCTGATTCTTCACTGGTGCTCCCTTCTTCCTCTTCTTCCTCCTCCTCTTCCTCCTCCCCTTCCTCAGAACCTGAGCCTGATTCTGCTACAGAATGAAACAGTCACTGGGTGAATCTTGGTTTCCCCTGCAGCAGCATCAGAGCCTTAGCCCGGCAGCCCCAGGTACCTGATGACGATTCGGCCGAGCTGGTTTTCCTTTCGCTGTCGCTGATGTCCTGCAGGTCTGACAGAAGGTCTCGTTCTTCCATCTTCTCTTCTTTTACTTTGAAATAAATCGCATACAGGTGATTTTGGAGAGATGATTGTTTCTTTCTAAAATTACTTCACTGATTATTATCTTGTGAGTATTTGCTGCATGTATGTACACTGTATGTGTGCTACTGGAGTCACTGGAACTGGAATTACAAATAGTTGTGAGCTGCCATGTGAGTTCTGGGACAGAATTCAGGTCCTTAAAAGAGCAGCAAGTGTTTGTCGCTGCCAATTTAGCTCTCCAGTCCTAATTTTTTCTTTTTTGAGACAGGGTTTCGTGTAACCCTGCGGTCTATAGCTTACTACGTAGCAGAAATGACATTAACTTCAGATCCTCCTGTTTCCATCTCATGAAGACTGGGCATACAGACCTACCATACTCTTTCTTATGTGGTGCTAGGAATCAAACACTGGGCTGGGCAGGCAGTCTACAAACTATGTATCCAGCCATGGGAAAATGTCCTTAAATAAACAAAACGGCACCACCCAAAAGTTAACACGCGGCTTATGCAAAGATCAGCTTCACTGTGTATGGCAGAGAGTTCACCCACACATATTTTAACTGGATGAACAACTTCCAAAAAGATTACAAACATGTATCTCAGTTAAGAATCAAACGCCCAGGGCCGGAGAGATGGCTCAGTGGTTAAGCGCACAGGCTGTTCTCCCAGAGGACTGGAGTTCAATTCCCAGCACCCACATGGCAGCTCACAACTGTCTGTAACTCCAAGATCTGACACCCACAGGCAGGGTGTGCAGTCAAAACACCACTGAACATTTAAAAAAAGAAAGAAACACGTGCCTTCCTGGGAGCGTGTCTGGAGGTGAGAGGACACCTGTGCAAGCGAGTTTCTCCTTCAGGCATTACAATTAGGTCAGCGCATTTGGTAAGAACTTTTACTTGCTGAGCCATCTTGCTGGCTCCCCAATATATGATTTTATTGTGCAAAAGAAATCACTTGGCAAGGTTTTCCTTAATTTCATAAACTATTGCCCCATCCATTTTTAAAATAAACTTTTAAAGGTTAGCATAGAATACAAAATAATAGGTTACATTACGACATTTTCATATATATCATAATTACTAAAAAGGCAAAGTTGCATGTTCAAGTATGTCCCAGGAAAATGTTCCATGCTTGCCTGGCCTCACCTGGCTTACGGTTGTCTCCCATCTCAAAGCGCTCTCGCGGTGGCCGCAGAGGGCTGCGGCTCCAGTGGCCAACCTTTCCCTTATCACTGTAGTCCTCCCTCATGGTGCGGTGGTGTGCAGAGACTGTGCGCACAAAGAAAACAGAGAGGGTGCTGGGAGCTGCCTTCCCAACACGGTTCTACCCTGTGCACAACTGCCAGGTGCTACAAACCCACACAGCATTAAAAGCTTCAACATCACAGGCTAAAAACTCATTTGGAAAAAGCTCCAAGCTGGAGGTTACTGGCTTACCAGAGGACTTTCTAGAATGATCTCCACTAATCACTGAAGCCAAGGTGGGAAATAATTCTAGAAAGATGGTGGACTGAGAAATGCCAGGCGTCCCTCAGCATCAACTTGACCTGGGTTACACAATTAGTGTGGAACTCTGGAATCAGCTGAGGGTCTTCAAGTTCCAGGGGAGGGTTGGATAACAAACTGGTTAATTCTAGTCAATTTAGCTGTTAGCACACCAGAAGCTGCCCATCCTCGTATTAAGGGCAATCAGTTATTCTGGGTTCCAGAGGAGTTTGCAGGTGAGAAGGGCTTATCCCCAACCATCAGAGATCTGTGCTATCACTGCTGCTTGCAGCCCCAGAGGGATAAAGTAGCCAAGCTTATTGAGACTGCACCTCACTCTAGTTAGGGTGTCTTTTAGAGAATATAAGGGCTAGAGCACCTATACCCACTTCCGTTTCTTCCTTTCCTCTCAGAAGCTAGATAATTAAGGATGCGGACATTAAAGCAATTATACACAGGGGAAGTTAGAAAGTAATTACACATTCCCAGACAGGCCAACTTAGATTTGGCACAGGAGGATGTGCCAGGCCAACACAGCCCCAACACTCACAGAGTCACAGCAAGCTCTGAGGAAGGGTCTGATCTCAGAATCATGACAAACATTCAAGTTAAAAAATAAACAAGACCTAACAGGGTGGCAAACGCCTTTATAATCCCAGCACAAGGAGGCAGAGGCAGTGGTGGCTGAGGCAGAGGCGGAGGCAGAGATATCTCTGAGTTGGAAGCAAGCTTGTTGTACATAGTGAGTTCCAGGACAGCAAGGGTTACACAAAGAGAACACGTCTAAGAAAAAAACAACCAACCACAAAGCTGGATAGTTTTATGTCAATTTGACACAAGCTAAAGCCATCCAAAAGGAGAGAATCTCAATTAAGAACATGATTCCAGCCGGGTGGTGGTGGTCTACACCTTTAATCCCAGCACTTGGGAGGCAGTGGCAGGCAGGCAGATCTCAGTGAGTTAGAGGCCAGCCTGGTCTACAGAGCTAGTTCCAGGTCAGAGTCTAAAAGTTACACAGAGGATTATGCAAACTGTTATATTAAACCAACCTATGTATTTTAAAAATGTTTTAACTTCACAATGGAAATCAATAAATATGTTGTGTTGGAGAAGAGGTTATGCTTTTATTTCCACAGAAAATGCAAGACTGTAGATTCGATTAACTCAAGGTTGATAATAGTGATCAGATTTGACGGGGAAGATCACCTGAAAATTCTAGCTACAGACATAAAAAAAAATAAACCTCAAAAAATTACAAGATAGGCATAAAATATCATCTTTGGCTGGCTTGTGTTCAATGCAAAGTTCACACTTGTGTTAATACAGATACACATGTTACCTTTGAAAGTTTGTGTTTTAAGAGCAAGAGGAACAGACACTAATGAAAACAGGTGACCCAGGTGATCCAGCCCCTCAGGGTGCCTCTGTCAGTTTCCTAAGAGTTCTGCACCCAGAACAGCTTCAATGCTGCTTGCTGAGATAGACGGTCCAGCCTCACAGACTACTCCAGCTAGGACTTCAGATAAGCCTTGGATTAGCCCGTCACACCAAAACTGAACAAGGCTAGCTTCTTCAGGCCTTGGCCATTATCTTAATCTTCTCAAGGTTCCCGAAAGATGTCATCGCCCTAGCTTAGGAGAGGGGTTGGCCACAAGTTGAAACCAGTCATGATCAGAGGAAAAGCTAAACAAAGGAGATTAGATTCATGGAACTCTTTCTGAAGGGAAAAGGAAGATATAGCATATATAGTATAGATGGAATAAAAGGGTAGACTTTTTAATTTACTTTTGAACAACCACTAGTCTCAAATATTTTATATTGCTATGGAATTTTATTGACACAAATTAAAATTATTTTTCTTACTCTTGTTTAAGGTATTGTTCCTATACGGCTCATTTAACAATGCAATGTAAATTTCAAGTTCTTGAAAGTGATTACTACAAACTATTTAGGATAATAAAGAAATGCAAGCTGGCAGTTAGTCACTATAACAATCAACTTTGTTGTCAAGTGAAGTAAGTTTTCAAGGTCAAACAGATATTTTAGACAGACAGGTGGTCTTAAAACACCTCACAGATCTACAGAATGGGGTATATTAATAATAAGGCTTTGCAAGGCAGTGAGACGTCTATTCCTGGCAGCACCATTTTACTTCAAAACAGGATGATGGGCATGGAAGAACTTCCATATGGAGTTCACTTTCTTTGTGAAAAAGTTAGCCACCAGGCAAGAAACTGACCGTTGCCTTGACTGCTGACAGTGTGCTGTCTAAATCAGACAAACAGGACACAAAAGAAGACAAGGTAGGACAGTCCTTGAAAATTCCTGCTTCACAGAAAAGTTTGTCAGATATTTTAGGCCTGTAGGCTGAAGACAGATGTTCCAGCATTGCAGAAGAATCTTGGGTGACTGTCCAGGCAGTCAGAGGACTCCGTCATTTTTTTTTTGTTTTGGAAGTTGCTTCCTCTGCACTTCCTGTTTACATTGGCAATATCATATCCTTCTCAAGTCTTTGATGGAGTTGAAGAGAGGTAGTTACAGTTTTCATTAGTTATGATAGAAGGTTAATTAGGTACAAAACTTTAGACTCACCAAGACTACATATGTTCTCTGAACATAATGGAATATGTTCTCTGAATTTGCCAAATGCAAATGGACTGTATGCTGTAAATTTATTTCTTACCTGAGAATTGTTCTTTTTTTTTTTTTTAAAAATATTTATTTGTTTATTATGTATACAATATTCTGTCTGTGTGTGTGCCTGAAGGCCAGAAGAGGGCGCCAGATCTCTTTACAGATGGTTGTGAGCCACCATGTGGTTGCTGGGAATTGAACTCAGGACCTTTGGAAGAGCAGGCAAAGCTCTTAACCACTGAGCCATCTCTCCAGCCCCTGAGAATTGTTCTTATTGGATAGTTTTATTACGTTAGAGTTAAAAGCCCTTTCTTTTTGAGTTAGACAAAAAGGGGGAAATGTTGCAAGATATTGGATTACACTGTGTAAAGTCACTGTGACTGGTTTAATAAAAAGCTAAATGGCCAATAGCTAGGCAGGAGGTATAGCAGGAACTTCTGAAGAGAGACCTCTGGGAAGAAGAAAGGTGGAGTATGACAGCCAGAGAGGGAGAAAGGCTGTAAAAGCCATGTGTCATGTGGTAACACGCAGATGAGTAGAAATGGGTTAATTTAAGTTATATGAGCTTTTATAATTAAAAGTAAGTCTCCATGAAGCTTTTTTGGGAGCTGGTAATACAGACAAAGGTTCACTACAGGTGGTGCCATGGAAAGTCAGCCACAAAGCAGCATTCCTCCATGGCGTTTGCATCAGCTCCCCAGCCAGGTTCCTGGCCTGTCTGAGTAACTGCCTGACTTCCTCTGACGATGAACTGTGATGTGGAAGTGTAACCCAAATAAACTCTTTCCTCCACAAGCTGCTTAGGTCATGGTGTTTCACCACAGCAATATTAACCCTAACCAAGACACCTAACAAACAAACAAACAAACAAAAGCAAACAACTTTTAGCACTTGAAAGGCAGAGGCAGATGGATCTCTGTGACTTGGAGGCTAGCCTGGTCTATGTAGTGAATTCAGGGACAACTAAGGCTTTGAAGAGACCCTGCCTCACAAAACAAAACAAAACAAAAAACCCACACCCACAAGACATTCAAAGAAACAGCAAGGTTTGTCTCAAAGGAAAAACATTAACCACACCAACGTAAGTGAGATGGCAGATGCCAACAAAGAGAAGTCTGAAGATGACCTATAGGAATGACCTCAAAAAAAAAAAAAAAAAAAAAACGGGAAAGAGATGTCACCAGGCTGCACCTGACCTTAAAGAAATTTTGTGGCTGGTGTCCACATAGTGGCACCATGGCCCATATGTTTGAGCTCTCTGGCAAGGAACTTACCCACTGCATGGCCTGGGATAAGAAGGCCGATGGAGGTTAAGTCCAAGGCACACGCTACCAGATGACTGCCCAGGCATGGCTCAGAAGTATGAAGGAGTTGTGCTGCCCTACCTATCATGATCTGGACCATCAAGGTAAGAAGACAAAGCAAGACTGAGGGTACTGATCTAGGTCTCTACTAGTAGTATAACAGGACTCCTTACATCACTGTTTACAATGAAAATGGCTTAATGGAAATAAACAAAAACCAAGACTTTAAGACAACTATTTTAAAGATATTCCAAGAACTAAAGATGTGGCAAAAACCAAGGACATGGTGCTATGAACATGAAAACACCAACAAACAAATAGGAAACCCAGGTGGGTGTACAGGTGATTCCCATAATCCCAGCCCATGGTAGCCTGGCGAAGAATGACTGTTGAGAGTCCAGTGTCATAACAGGATACCCAGTGAGTGCTAGGCCATCTGGACTAATCTGAGACACTGGCTCAAAATGAATGAATAGATAAATCGATTAAAAAAAAGGCCCTCTAAATAAAAGATTCCCAGTGAAAATATTTGGCCCACTATAGGGATCCAATAGCAAGTCTGGGTAGGCAGAAAACAGTCAGTGAATTGAAAGATATAGCAACGGAAACTATGAAACCTAAGAAACAGGAAAGGAAAACCATTAAAGAAAAATACCAAGACCAGAGAGGCCCTGAGATTACCGAGTCCAGTAAGGATTAGAGAGGAACAGAGGACACCTAAGAAGGATCTGCTGAAGCACACATTGTCAGAAGACACGAGCATCAGCATTCACTCTGCTCCACAGACTCCAAGCAGGATGAATTCAGAACCGCACTGCATTTACTGTGTATAATAAAACTGTTTTCTGGAGTAAGGTAGCCACTGTTTATAGCTCTGTTTGTTAGGCAATGCACTTTTAAAGGTGCTAGTTTAAACATATGAAGATGCATTTTTGTGGCAGGAACAACTGGAAAGGTTTCAGAGAGAGATAAAAGCAACAGAATTTGTTAGTAAAGTGAAACTGGTATCAATTCAAATTTGTCATAACTTTAGAATATTGTATGTGACCTCATGGTAACCACACAAACTAACAAATAAAAACCAGATATAGACTATATACAAAACAAAATGAGAAATGAACTAAAATATTTGGTTTAAAAGTAGATAAAGGGAACTGGAGAGTTGGCTCAGTGGGTAAGAGCACTTATTCTTGCAAACGACCCAGGTTCAAGTCCCAGGACCCACATGGAGGCTCTCACTCACCTCCTTAGGCACCACACAAACATGTGGTGCACAGACGGACATGCAGACAGAACACTCATACACATAAAATAAAAATAAAACAGAGAGTAATAGATTAATGATACAAATATGATAATAAAGCAAAAATGAGGGTTAAAAATGTAATCAGGTATGAAAAATATAAACAGCAAACGACAAACACAAGCCTCCTTCCAGCTCTCCTTCAGAAGGAAAGTTTGACACAAACTTGAGTTCTAGCTCCGATGCAGAGACTCACAGCAATCTCTAACTCCAGGGCCAGGGGATCTGATGCCCTCTTCAGATCTCTAAGCACACCAGGCAAGCACGTTACACTGACATACATACAAGCAAAGCACTCATAAGCACAGAATAAAAATAAATAAGCCTTCTTTAAAAGGGTAAAATGGACAATAAACATATATTGCCATGAAACTTAAAATGGGAAAAGGAAGGCTTAGTAAAGCAAGCACAGGAGCCAAGAACTGCTTCTCTGCCTCCCTTCAAGGGTCCTTCCCAGGGCCCAGTCAAGGCTGTCAATCACAAGCACTCTCTATGGCAGCAGTCAACCCCTCAGAGTAGTCCAAGAGGATCCACAGAGAAAGAGGGCAGTCCCTCCCACCTACCTTCCCTACGCGCTTCTCTCTCTTTGCGCCGCTCTTCTGCCCTCCGCTCCCGCTCCTTCTGTTCCCGCTGTTCCTTCTGCTGCTCCCTCATCTTGCGCTCCCGCTCCCTCTTCCTTTCTAACTGCTCCAGGCGGTCCCTGGAAAAAGCACACCAGGTCATCATGCTCCTAGCCCACAGGAAGTTTCTCTCTTAGGCCAGGTTGATTCTGCTGAACTTATGTAGCGTATCTGCACACTGTAAACCCACACATGGCTACTTAGGTGTCAAAACCACCTATGTGATATGTGCACATCATCAAGTAGTTAGTTCCTGGTGAGCCACAGGAGGAGGCTATCACCTGTCAGACCCCAAACACATCAGTCCTATTGCCTCGGTTGGCAGCTCTAGGAAAACACAGCACCCAGAGAACCCTGGTTAGATCCTGTAGATCAAGAGTACAAAAACAAGAGGTAGAGAGGCCTCTGGGATGGGGGAAAGGCAGCCATGGCCTAAAGACCTGAGTGTTGACAAATTCCTTCACTAAAGTCTGGGCAGATGAACCTTGGGCCACTTCCTGCCCCAGCTTGAGACAGCGAGGGCTTCAACAAGATGGAGACAGCGAAGGAACTAGTTGCTTGAAAACAAGGCAGCTATCACCAGGACAGCAGAAAACTTACTAGGTACTGAAACACGTCCAAGTGGCTAAATCCACCATTTTTCATATTCCTATGAAAAAAGGATCTGCATTTCTGGAGTTTTATGTTTTAATTTCTTCTTTGATTTTAAACAGGTACACTTGATGTTATTTAAACTCATGGTCTGCCTGTTAGGGTTTCTCTAGGTCTCCTGGCCTGCCTTAAACTTTCAGCAATTTTTCTGCCTAAACCCCAAGAGCTGTGTTTGCAAGGATACACTTCGAGGCCTGGCTAGTCTTGCTATTTCTTGGGAAAGTAGGAGGTTGAGAGAGGGCCTCACAATGTAGCTCAGGCTGGTCTCAAATCACAAAGATCCACAAGCATGAGTGACATATGCACAAACTCTGCTGTTGACCTTACATTCACCAATTCCAGTCTGAAGCTCATCCTGAGGGTCTTCCTTACTACTTCCGTAGGCTTGCTAGCTATGAAGTCCACCAGGCCCAGTTACCATGGAACGTCTTTCCTTTCCTTTCACTTTTGTAGAAAAGTTGTGCCAGACATAGACTTCCCAGCTGAGATTTTTGTTAAATGGTGTAGGGCTAACATTCTGACAGGAAGCGCAGATCCCTCTGGCAACTCTTGTGTTCACCCTGCTCGGGGCTTACCGAGTTATTTGGGTCTGGATATCTGGGTTTGAGAGCAAACAGAGGAAGTGCTCAACCACTATTCAGGAACCCATCATTCTGCCTTTCCCTCTTCCTCGGACTCTTGTTACAAAAAGATGGTACCACAGATGCTGTTCCACACACAGGGCACTGAGACTCCTCTCTCTTCAAAGAAGATTAACTCCTACTACTCTATTTTTTTTAATCTTTAAAAAATTTTTATTTAACTTTATTTTATATGTACTAACATCAGATCCCCTGGACCTGGAGTTACCTCAGACAGTTGTGAGCTGCCATTTGGGTGCTGAGAATTGAACCCAGGTCCTCTAGAAGAGCAGTCAGAGCACTCAACTGCTGGGCCATCTCGCCAGCCCCTCCTACTGCTCTATTAAATACAGTCTGCATGTTTTAGCAAAGTTCCAGAATTCTCCAAGGCAAGATCACCTCTGCAGTCCATGTGATTTTCTTTAAATGAATTTTATGTGCATGAATTTTTTATACACATGTATGTGTGCCATGTGCATGTGTATGCAGCCTGTGGAGATCAGAGAGGGTATCAAATCCTCTTGAATTGTAGTTATAGGCAGCTGTGAGCCACCGTGTGTGCTGGGAAATGAACCCTGGTCCTTAACTGCTGGACAATCTGTCCAACCCTCTCACCCCCTTCATGTTTTGAAATAGGGTCTCAGAGGCTGGAGAGAGAGTTCAGTGGTTAAGAACACTGGCTGCTTTTCCAGAGGTCCTGAGTTCAACTCTCAGCAACCACATTGGCTCACAACCATCTCCAGTGGGGGTCTGATGCCCTCTTCTGACATAAAGTTGTATATGCAGATAGAATACCCATATACATAATATAAATACATCTAAAAAAGGAAAAAGAAACGAAACAGGATAGAATGGATTCCAGACTGATGTCAAACTCTGAACTTAGGACCTTCCGATAGGTCGGTTTTTACTGCTCTCACCCCCAGTTCTCCGATTATCTCAATGGGTTTCTAAAGCACAATTATGGTGGCTCTTCTCAATTATAACCAGCTTTAAAGCTGGCTTGGAGACAAGGCAGGTAGACTTTGCTTAGTCTTATCCAGAAATATGTCCACGTTTTCTCCTATTTTCTTCTGCTTTACCTTACAAAAAACTACACAGATGTTCAAACTTCATCTACCAAGCTCTACTTCTATCCCAAGCCCCCACCGCTGGACAAGGCATCCTCAGTCTCTAGAAAATGAACAGTGGGTATAGGCTGTGAGTTTATATCCAAACTACTGACCTCAGACTGACCGCTGAGCGTACCAAGTGCTTCACTGAGAACCAGCAATTTTTGTTCTTACCTATGCTGTGTGTTTAGTGCTACCTGCTGGGACAGTCAGTATCTCTTTAGGCCTTACTGTTAATAGGTCAGCTCCCAAACTTTCCCTGAACTCAGCCTACCCTAATCCAGAGGATATACATGGAGCTAAACAGATACTGTTCTCAGGGTGTCCTTAGCCTGGTGTCCTAGTTCCTAGACTGTCAGGTCCTTGGGGAGCTCCTTTCTTATTTCTTAGTCCCTTTATGTTGGGAAGAACCAGGCTGTTTCCACTGTGATGCAGACAAGCATAGCATCCACTCTAAACAATCTCCTTAGCTGCCCTAGGCTGCTCCTGCTTATTGAACAAATGATAAACCACATAACGGTTAGCTATGAATGTTGACTTTTCACAGTGGAGAATCTTCTGAGAAAGACTCAGTGAAGGATTGTCTAGATTAGGGTAGGCTGTAGGTACATCTTTAGAGGATTATAATGAATTTTTTTGGTTTCTCAAGACAGGGTTCTCTACGTAGCCATGGCCTACAGAACTTGCTCTGTAGACCAGGCTGGCCTAGAATTCGTAGAGATCTGCCTCCCTCCACATCCTGAGTGCTGGGATGAAAGGCGTGAATCGCCATCATCCAGATTTATAATGACTATGCCAGCCAAGGTAAGAAGACACACCTCCCCTAGGGAGAGTGGAGAAAGTAGGGTTAGAGAGATGGCTCACTGGTTAAGAATGCTTGCTGCTCTTGTAGAAGATCTGATACCTCTCATCTCTCAGGGAATCTGCACTCACATACACAAACATACCTACACACATATACACATAATTAAACAAACAACAAACAAAGGAAAAAGCTTTAAAAAGACAATCTTTAAGAGTGAAGAAAGCAGCCGGGCGGTGGTGGCGCACACCTTCAAACCCAGCACTCGGGAGGCAGGGGCAGGTGAATCCCTGTGAGTTCGAGGCCAGCCTGGTCTACAAGAGCTAGTTCCAGGACAGCTAGGGCTGTTACACAAGGAAACCCTGTCTCCAAAAACAAAAACGTGGAGAAAGTAAGTTGAGCACTGCTGTGCTGGGATGAGTTCACCGCCCTCTGCTCTTGGCTGTGGATGCAGTACTATGTCCAGTTGCTTCAGCTTCCAGCTGACTGCCCTGCAATGATGAACTGTAACCTGAAACTGTGGAACAATTAAGTCCCTTCTCCCTTAGAAAAGTCTCTCAGTCACCACAGACACTGTATTAAAGGTCCATAAGGAGCAGGCCTCACCTTTCTCTCCTGGAATGTTCTCTTGCCATTTCCCTCCTCTTCTGTCTTTCCCATTCCCTGCGAGCTTTATCCTGTTCTTCTCGATGGCGTTTCCGACGTTCATGTTCTCGTTCTTTCTCTTTCACTCTGGCGTGCTTTCCTAATGAGATATGAGCATCATGCAAAGAAGCTCAATTATGCCAGGCAGGGGTGCAGCCTTTAATCCCAGCACTCAGGAGGCAGAGGCAGGCGGATCTCTGAGTTCAAGGCCAGCCTAGTCTACAAAAACAAGTTCCAGGACAGCCAGGGCTACACAGAAAAACCCTGTCTCAAAAAAACAAAAAAAGAATGGAACTAGAGATGACGCCTGCTATTCTTCGCGAGGACCTATGACTGATTGATTCCATGTCAGGAAGCTCACGACGACCTGTAACTTCAGCTCCAAGGGACCCAATGTCCTCTTCTGACCTGCATATATACGGCATACACAGGTGCTTGCATAAGCTTATGTGCACCACAAACATACAGGTGTCCTTGGAAGGCCAAGCATATTGCATCCCTGGAAGTGGAGTTATAGGTGGTCGTAGGCTGCCCAGTGGGGTACTGGGAACCAAATCCAGATCCTCTGCAAAAGAAGGAAGTGCTCTTAACACTGAGCTATCTTTCTCTCCAGCCTTGATTTTCACCTTTCTTAGTGTTCTACCATGACATTTCATAACTTAAAAAAATCATTATTCATATACAACACATAGCAAAGCTGTTTCTTTTAGTAGATTCTATAGTACTGCTGAGAACCCCTTGGAAATGGCTGTAACCCCGGAATCTAAGAGGCTGAAGGAGAAGAAGCCTTGAGTGCTGGAAGGCAGCCCCCAAACAAACAAAAGCTCTTGGTATTGTCCTCTCAAGTCAAAGCTGTTAGTTGGACTTGACCAATACCTATTATTATTATTATTATTTTTTGGTGTTTTTCTTTCTGTACTTATTAAATGAGAGCAATTCTATACAATAGACAAATGACTAAAAAAATAGTAAAAGGGGAAAGAGTAAAACATACACATACCAACAGAAAAAGGAAAGAGTTAGTCAGCATTGAGTCTAGACTTCTGGCTAACACTCCATTCATCCTCACTGCAGACACACTCTGAAGAAGATGCACCGTGACAGAGGGAACGGAGCTGTGACTACCACATGAAGAAAGCACAGACTCCTACCTCCCTCGGCTGAATGGCTACGATGTCTACGCTTCTCTTTTCTCTTCTCGTCTTTTCTGTGATGGGCTTTTTCTTTCCGAGACATTTGCTGGGGTGGTTTAATGGCCAGAGAATCATCTTCCTCTCCTCTGAAACAGATGAGAGACACACCATGGTGGCAAGTGCAGAGAACCAGTGTACCCAAGGAGAAGCAGTGTTCCCGATAGGATAACGTTAAACTCCAGCCGTCATTTAAGAAAAGCTAAAATTGAAGCTATTTTAAGATTCAGATGAAAAATATGAGAACCTGAGGTTGTCTGCAGAACAAAGATGCCTCTCTTTAAGGAGGTGTATGCTCACTTGTGCTTTTTCTTTTTTCTTTTTTTGTTATTTATTTATTTATTTATTTTGTATACTGTGTTCTGCCTGTACATCTGCCTGCAGGCCAGAAAGAAGGGGACACCAGATCTCATTACAGATGGTTGTGAGCCACCATGTGGTTGCTGGGAATTGAACTCAGGACCTCCAGAAGAGCAGGCAATGCTCTTAACCACTGAGCCATCTCTCCAGCTCCGCTTGTGCTTTTTCTTGATTGTGGTAATGGTTTTATGGCCAAGCAAAAATGTGTCAACTCACACATTATATGCAATTCATACAGTCATTTATACTTGAGTAAAACTGCTGAGGTCCTGCCATCCTAAAACTGCTGAGGTCCTGCAGTCCCACCACCCATAACCAAGTCAATGTTTATCCAACAGTGCCTTTAATTTTGTAACTCCAGGATCCTGGAAAATTTTACACTCTGAGCTTCTCAAAAGAGCCAGGTTATTTTAACTTTTGATCATGCATGTTGGCTTGATACTAGCCCCTCTGAATTCCACTTTGGATTACTTACGATAAACATTTAAATGTATTATCTAAATCGTTGACTGAAGAATACATGCTCATTTTGTGTTCATAATGCCACACAAAAGCAACATCACATGTGAGGTCAACTTCAAGTTAAAATACAAACTTTACAGAGACAAGCATAGTGGTGCACACCTTTTAATCCTAGCATTTGAGAGGCAGAGGTTGATGGATTTCTGAGTTCAAGGATCTATATAGTGAGCTCCAGGACAGCCAAGACTATGCAGAGATACCTGTCTCAAGTAAACACAAAAACCAAATATACAAAAATTCAAATTTTTATATTCATTTTTGAGTATGAATGTTTTCCTGCAAATATGTGTGTGCACTACATGTACCCATGGAAGTCAGAAGGGGGCATCAGATCTTTTAAAACCTGACTTTCAGATAGTTGTTAGCCACCATGACCATATTGTGCTGAGAACCAAACCTGGGTCCACTGTAAGAGCAACAAGTGCTCTTAACCACTAAGCCGTCTCTCTAGTCCCCAAACTTTTCCAAAGTGATACTGAAACAGGCAGGCTAGGGGGCTCAGTGGTTAATGGCATTTGCTGTTCTTGAACAAGACCCAAGTTTAGTCTCACAACAACCTGTTACTCCAGCTTTAAGGAATGGCATTTTATAGTTCTGCACGGACATATTCAGGGATAATCTGGGGCCTGTGTGGCCCATGGGCTGTAGGTTAGGTTAAACATGCCTACTACCTTACATGTTCTCACCTGTCTTCCATAGAATCCTCTCTTCTGTATGGTGAGTTCCTGATAGTGATTTCCATTCGGTGATCCCTCAGCTCCCCCTCCTCAAGGGAATCCCTTTTGGAATCCCGGTCATCAGACTAAGAAGCAGAGAAAAATGAATCATTAAGTCATTTTCCTTATAGATAACCTTCCTAACCTTTGAAAAATATCTTGTTATGTATCTCAGGCTGGCTTTGAACTCGAAACCTTTTACCTCAGCTCCAAAATGCTGAGGTTACCTTACTACTAAACATGTCTTTTTTTTTTTTTTTTTTTGAGACAGGGTCTCACTATATAGCACTGACCTCCTGAGGTCCTGAGTGTCGGGATTAAAACTGAAGCTTGCTGAGTAACTTTAAATATACACTTTGCATGGCGACATTACAAAACACAAGGTAACTTTTGTTCAAATTTTATGTAATTAACATCACATTTTATTTTTGTAACTCAAAACCAGAGAACAGAAAGTTAAAAACACTATATATAAGGGACATGAGACTGTGCCAAGAATGTTACTTTTTTTTTTACGAGCCAAAATTAAGATCTAAGTTGGACTTAACACATCAAATACATCATACAAGATTCATATATACATTTCGAAATGATCTCTCTCTAATTTTATCATAAGAAGTACTTATGTCCAATCGCCCCAAACTACGTCATCATAGTTCTGACTATGATATCTGACTATGTTATCACACAGCCACGGAAGCTACAAAATAATTCATTCTGTTTGCAAGGCAAGATCCCACTATATTAAAAAATACTTGGCAATGGTGTTATGAATATACTAATTATGAGATGAGGAAAATTAGTCTGCTTGTAATAAAGATTCTAGGTTCAGAACATTTTATTTTTTAAGGAGAGATCCTCATTTAGATACAGCTTCAGGGGCTGGAGAGATGGCTCAGTGAATAAAAGCACTGGCTGCTGCTTCCAGAGGACACAGGTTCAATTCCCAGCACCCACCTGCTTGTCACTCCAGTTCCAGGGCACCTGACACCCTCACACAGACAGACATGCAGGCAAAACACCAATGCACATAAAATTATGAAAACAAAAGAACAAAAAACCCAAAGAACTAGATACAGCTTCAGCGTGTTATCAATCTGGCTTGAGTGTCAACTGTGTATACAAATGTTTTTGTTAATTTTAGAATAGATTTTGGGCTCACCTGTGACATTTGGAAGTACAAAAGAACTTCACCGAAGAAGCGTTGTTCTAATGGAAAAATGAGGGCAAAGAAATTAAATCTCCTTTAAGAAAACCACTTACTTAAAAAACATAGCTTACATTTTTTAAGCGTTTTATCTCTGCTTTCTCCTCTTGTTCTTTCCTTCGTTTCTTTTCCTGGAGAATTTCATCTAATGTTTTCACTTTCCAAGAGTCCTTTTCATCACCCATTTGAGTTAAAACGCTGCAAAAAGAAAGATAATTCAAGCAACCTCGGGGCACAGAAATCTATGCTCTGTTGCTGTCTATTCTGAACACTTAGGGCCAATCATTAATGTTTCAGAATAAGTCCCGGAAGTTCAGGTAGGCAGGAAGGATTCTGCCTTCTTTTTTTTCTTTCTGTCACTCCTTTAAGGTTTTGGGCAACTCAGTTTTTACCTCGGTTCACTTTTCCGTAAAACGCAATCATCACCATCCACGAAATGGTACCGTTCCAGGATGAAAGACCATCCCGGTCAGAGCTCTTATCTCAGTGCCTTAGATGTCAAAGGGCTGTGTGAGAACGCTCCAGGACGCGGGGGGCCTGGGTGATGGGTAAGATCAAGGGGTCCCGCAAACATGAGGCGGGGGCTGGCTCCGGAGCGGCCAGGGCCCGCCGCCTCCGCGGCCCGTAGCTCCGCGGAGCGAGGCCGAACGCGGCAGCACTGTGTCGCTAGCCCGATTCTTCGGGAGCACCGTTAACCCACGTCTGACCTCCCGCCGCCACTCACCCCTGCGCCGCCGTCGCCGCCGCCGATCCCGGAGTCTGAGAAGAAACTGCGCCCGGCGCGCGTCAGGAACGTTGTCACTTCCTCCTTGGGCGCCCGCTGATGACGTGACGGAGGCGGTCGGAAGTGACGCACACGGAGACGCTCAGGGTCAGCGAGCGTCTGGCACCGCCCTGGGGTGTCTCTAGCAGAGGGTGTGACTCGGGACGACCCGCCCAGGCCTTGTTTAGCTGTGTGGCTGCGGAGAAACTGAGCCAAGCCTCCCTCACCGCCACGACGGCCTTGATCTTCCACAACCAGGCGTTTGTTTCTCTCAAACTTACACGAGGCCTTTGGTTTGGGCCAAGCCGTGCTAGGTCACTAAAAGTGGAGTCCCGTTAGAGGGTCAAACCATCAAATGGAAAAGTCTTCCCGTTCTACCCAGGACTCAGGAAGCCGAATTCCCAGGGCTAGTTACATGATGAGGAAGCCCCGCGTTCAAGAACACAACATTGAAACGAATCCAGTTTCTTCAGCCAACCTCTTCTGTGTGGGCCTACTGAAGTGACTGGGTGTTTGTTATTTTCTCTGAGACCGGGTTCAGTATGTAGACCTGGCCTCCAGCTCAGAGAGAGCCTCTTGTGTGTACCACCATCTTCTTTGTTTTTGTTTTCTGTTCATTCTAATTGCAGAATTACAAAGTTAAGATCTCCGAAATTATAATTTTATCTTGGTACGCTGAAGCAAGGCGGGTAGAGCTTGACAGATTTTAAAGCTGATACTATGGCAGTATTTCTCAGTGTGTTTAAACGAACTGGAGATCTTGAAGGAACCCTACGATTCCACAAAAAGCTTATCAGAGCTTATGAAACAGAGCAGAAATGAAAATTGCTTGTGCATGCCTTTGTCAGGCTATCTGTGGGTTTTTTGGGAAAAATAGCCAAGTATGATGGTGGTGGTGCTCACCTTTCCTTCCAGCACTCTGGAAGCAAGCAGGCAGAGAAACCTTGTCTTGAACCTGCCCCCCTCCACTGCAAAAGACAAAAACAAAACAAAATCTTACACAAAACAATTACATATTTCATATTTATTTTCTTTCACAAGAAAATTGGCGGCTTGGAAAGAAATGAGATGGGGAGGCTTTCACAATACCCATTTATTACATGACTCACTGAATTACTTCACAGAATTCTAGGCATTAATCTAATCACTGAAATACTGAAATAGGCAAAATATAAAACATTATACATTTTATGATGCATCTTAGTTCTCTAGTATTGTTTGGTGCAAAACAAATATGACTTGGCTTTGTTGTAGACAATTACCAATATACTATCAAGGTTTTCTTTTTTTTTTTTTTTAAAGGGGGTGGTGGTGGTTTTGAGACAGGGTTTCTCTGTAGCTTTGGTGCCTGTCCTTGACTAGCTCTTGCAGACCAGGCTGGTCTCGAACTAAAAGAGATTCACCTGCCTCTGCTTCCCGAGTACTGGGATTAAAGTCACCACCACCCGGCTTGCTGCTACTTCTTTTTTTTTTTTTTGATGTGGAACTTACAACCTTAAACTGTGGAGTTTTCCAAAGTGCCAATACTGCTGGAACAAATACAAATTCACAGTTATCTCCAAGTTTAAACAATAGAAATTAATTTAATGCAGTTTGAGTCCCAGAAATGGAAACTAAAGACAATGGAAACAAACAAAAAAACCACACACACACTTGTCAACTGGATTGGTTTCAAACTCAACTTGGACATGTGAGCAAGAGTCTAACAGTCACCTAACTCAGAATCAGAGCCCCCAAGGAAACTAACAATGAAAACATTCTTAGGAAACACCAAAGTTAAAAGCTACTACACTCTGAATTGTGGTTGGAACTGTCTGTCCACATTTAGCATGATGTTAAGTTTCTAGTTCATGGGGCGAGCCAAGACATTTATAAACTAAGAAAACAGTTGGGGGGGGGTATAGCTCAGAGAAGAGCCACAGCCTAGCATTCCCGAAGCCCTAAGCTCTAGCCTTAGCACGAGAGAGGGGGGGGGGGGGAATGAAGAGATAAAAAGGCCTCCCCATAGGTAGGCCATATATTTCTTTGTTGAGGGGCAAAAAAATAGAAGAGAACTGAAAACGGCTGGTGACACCTGCTTGTAATCTCAGGACGAAGAAGACTGAAGGAGCTGGGCAGTAGTAGCAGCACACAGCTTTAATCCCAGCACGCCTGAGGCAGAGGCAGGCGGATCTCTGTGAGTTTGAGGCCAGCCTGATCTACAGACTGAGTTCCAGGACAGGCTCCAAAGCTACAGAGAGGGAGGAGGAAGACTGAAGAAGGCTGCAGATCTCAAGGACTCAAGGGAAAGAGAACAGGCATGGTTTTCCACCGTTAGTATCATCTTTGTTTACTCTTTTCCAGTGTTAGGAAATAAAATGCTTGCAGGAGACATCACGTGGACAGATGTGAAGTGACCACGGAGGAGCTGGGTCACAGCCACGTGTTTTGTAGTGGTCTAAAGGCAGCAAGCAGTTTACGTGACTGATTCCCTTGTGCGTGTTTATTCTCTTTCATCTCCTCTGATTCATCGTTTTTATTTTTCTCAAATTAGAAACATATTTTGGATTGCACAAGAGTACTCTCAACTTTCCAGGCAGACAGATTATAATGCTGGTATGTAAGAAATTACAAAGATCAGAAAAAAAATTTAAGGTTTTTTTTTTTGAAACAGGATCCTAATATGTAGCCTAAGTTGGTCTTGGAATAACTCTATAGCCTAATGCCTCCACAGGACTATGATCACAGGTAAGTGCTACCATGCCCAACTTTAGACAAAAACCATCTATTGTGGTGGACGTTTTGGGGTCTCATCTCCCTCTATCCCATGTGTGCTGGTCTCACAATAAATGACACTAATGTATTACTAAGCTACACCCCAAAGTCATGGGAGTCTTTTTTAATGTACTCATTTTAAAATCATGTGTGTGTGCATACGTGTATATGTGTGTGTGTGTGTGAGTGCAGATGCCTACAGAAGCTAGAGGAATCAGAATCCCTAGAGCTGGAGTTACAGGCAGTTGTTAGGCACCCTACACAAGTTCTGGAAAGTGAGCATGGGTCCTTAGCAAGAGCACTACTTGTTCTTCCCCACCAAGTCTTCTCTACAGCCCCTAGAAGCGTTCTGAAATTAGAAATCTATGTATCTCTTAACCATGTGTGTAGTGAGGAAGCAGATGGCTGGCTCAGAATGTCCATCCGGTGTTCTGTTACAACAGACCAGACAAAGACATGGATTTAGGAAAAATTAATCCAAGATATTTCAACATGTACATCAGCAACAATTCTTGAAAAACACAGTATGATATAAAAGTACTGACAATGTTAATAAAAAAATATTGTGATGGTATGGTCACAATGGCCAGGAGTCCTGGAAATGCTGGAAGAGGTGGCTGTGTGGCAAGGATGTGCATGGAATGTAAAGCCGGACAGGCCGTGGTGCTGCCTCTAGCACAGACTCCATGGTCTTCCCGCCTGTGATGAGGACAGGCCGTGATGCTGGCTCTTAACACAGATGCCATGGTCTTCCTGTCTCAAAAGCAGCTTTTTAAGTTGTTTTAAGAAAATCTTTGTTTTTGTTTCTAGTCCACAAACTTAGAATCAAAACAGGCGGAAAGGTTGGTGAAGTGGAGGAGTAGACAGAACAAGTTACGATGGGCCATTTCCTAATTCCACATGGGAATTCCAAGTGCTACTCAGAAGCCAGGCATTTGGGGCTCTGATCTGTAAGAAGGCCAGGGGATCTTCCAACCACTGCCCAAACACGTGTCCTGTGTGTGTCAGCAGCTCCACAGCCAGATTCTTGAGGAGAGAGGCCTAATGTACAGATTAACCCAATATCCATCATCTGCCCTCCACTGGAAGTAGAAACCTGGGGAAAGTCAAATGAGAGAACCCTTTATAGTGGAGGTGACCTCAGCACAGGGAAGATACACCTAGCCTGTGTCCAGAACACAAGCCCGCTTCTCTGAAAAGGTGGATTATAGATTAAAAGGCCTCATTTTGATCCATCATCACAGCAGACTTTTTCAAGTACATAAAACTTAAGACATAATTATTGCTCTTTTTCAAATCAATCTGTCTCTTTGAGGGGCTATTTTCCTATTTTCCAGGCAAGGAGCCAACTTGGAAATCAATGAGCCAGCATGGGCCCTCAAGATGGACAGCAGGGAAAGTGAGACTTGGAACCCAAAGTGCCAGTGCTGAAGCTCGTGAGTCTCGGAGAAGAGTCTTAAAGACTGGCTGGCCATGGACTGCACCCCACATCAGAACCCACAAACTGAAGAATAAGTAAAACCTCAGCATCTCATGCCCAAGCCCCCACTATGGTCCTTCACTGCTCAGGCATCCTGAGCTCGGACACCAGTGACCCTGGGCACCTGGTGGCTCAGGAAGTGTCACATATGATCCCTGGGAAGAGCCAGCTGTGTGTGTAGACTTGGATTCACCTTACATGCAGACACTCCAGGAGCTTTGCTAAAATGAGTCACTGCACATGAAGCGTAACCTGCAAACACAGATGCTCTGCTAAACTTCCCTGTCATCATCCCGAAGGGGAATCTGGCAGGGTGGTCAACTATGCCTGCTTCACATTCAGTATACCCAGGACAGAGAAGAACTCCAGGGGGACCTGTTCTGATTAGAGATTTGCCCAAGTTGGAGAAATCACCAAACGGGTAGCAGAAACACAGGACAGCAAACCTGGAGTGGGGTAGCTCAGTGTAGCACAGGCCAAAAAAGGGAAGACTTTCTCTTTATAGAAGCTCTCCTCCTCCGTGGAAGAAGACACTCGTCTCTGTTGTCAGTCACTCTGCATCCCCAGGGTTTTGTGGCTCTTTGCTAGAGTCACTGGCATCTGGAATTTCTGTTTCTTATCTGTCAGGAACCAGGAGGCTTTGGTGCCTGTGGTGGTGGTGGTGGTGGTGGTCATAGGAAAGTTGAGGTCTCCTGGATGGCATCAAGCAGACAGCAACTCCTGTTGGTACTAGAACCTGTGCTTATTCCACAGTTGGCCCCACCGAGTTACTGGCGCAATTGCAGGCTGGACAGTGTGCCCGGTTAGCTGCAGGCCATTTGCTCCCTCCTGTAGGGCTCTGTCAGGCAGAAGCTGATCCCCAAACTCCCCATCTGGTGTCCAGTGAGGAACAAAAGACCTGCCTGCAGAGTCTGCCTCTCTCTTCCAGCATACAGTGCAGGAAGACAGTCTAGGCTTGGTTTCCGGGGGTCACGGCATCAAAAGGAGCTCAGTGGTGCTGTCTTGAGTCTTGGGGAACCAGAGGTTCTGTGTCATCCTCTGAGCCCCGGCTACTGGCTGTGGCCAGACTCTGCATGGTCTCCTGCTGATACTGCCTGGCCTTGTTGTAGAGCAAGACACCCACTGTGACAAGGACGGTGCCAATGGCAGACAGGCTGGTGATTTTGTTGCCAAAAACGATGATGCTGAGCCAGATAGACAAGGCGTGCTTCACGGTGCTGGCGACACTATGGGAGTAGAGCAGAGAAAACAGTCAGGTGCTGGCTCACACCCACAGAGGCAAGCCTGCTGTGGCAGTGGCTGACAGCTGTCATACCACATACCGCTGCTGTGCCGTCCGCCCGGGGTCTTGGCCCCAATGGGGGCATGGATGAGGTTCCTAGCATTGAGGGGTTTTGTCTGCAACTTTGTTCTCAGGTTTACTCCTTTTTTAAAGATTTATTTCATGTACATGAGTGCTCTATCAGCATGTATGCCTTTATGCCAGAAGAGGCCATCAGTTCCCACTATAGATGGCTGTGAGCCACCATGTGTTTGGTAGGAACTGAACTCAGGACCTCTGAAAGAGCAGCTAGTGCTCTTAACTGCTAAGCCATCTCTCCAGCCCCCAGGTTTACTCTTTTTAAATGAAAAATCTCAGAACAGAGGCTGAAGAAATGACTCAGAGAAACCTGTCTTTGGGGGGGGTACAGTTTAGCAATTATTTATACAGCACTGACACGGCTTCTTGTTAGTCCTAAGGTCTTAGGGGATGAACGCAGTTTCTCTGCAAATCCCTTGTAATTTAATATAAGGAATTTAAGATCTGTGGCTTTTCAATCAGATATGGTAGTACCTGGCTATGATTCCAGCACTTGGGAGATAGAGGATAAGGAGTTCAAGGTTTCCTTGCCTATATAGTAAGTTCTAGGCCAGTCTGGGCCATATATAAGAGCATCTCAAAAAGAAAAACTGAATCTCAGGAAAATTTCTGCAACAAAGACTTCCAGTTCCCTGAAAATCTGCTTCTCACAGTGGTGGTACAAAGTATCAGAGGAGGAGAATCTCACTCACCTGAAAGTCACAGGGGAGATCTTTCCCATCAGGGCGTACGCGGTGACACTCTGAAGGTGAAACAAGGCGCCATCTGTCAGCAGCAGCAGCACGATGTCCTGGCTGTAGCTGAAGCTCTTCCCACTCCTGCCAATCACAGGGACATCCTATGGCCAAAACAAAAGGACGTTCTTCTGGCCTGTCGTCGCTGCTGAGAAGGTAAGGTACCACCGGTGCCAAGTAACTGAAAGTCAGTCACACTGGAGCTCTGAATGCCCGTCTGCTAGACAGCAGTGTGCACATTCATTAGGACTTTCAGCACAGACCAGGCATGCTATATGCCTACAATCCCAGCACTCAGGTAGAGACAGGAGGACTTGGAGATTCAGAGAAAAACAGCAAATCTGAGGCCAACTTGGTTTACACGAGCTCTTATCTCAAAAGTGAGGGGGGTTATGTCGGAAAAATGCCTCAGTAAGTAAAGAGCTTGGAATACATGTATGAAAACTCATGCCAGAGCTGGGTGGTGGTGGCGCACACCTTTAATCCCACCACTTGCCAGGCAGGCAGATCTCTGTGAGTTCAAAGCCAGCCTGGTCTACTAAGAGAGTTCCAGGACAGCTAGGAGTTAGAGAAACCCCGTCTCGAAAAAGCAATAACAAAAAAAATCAAAACTAAAACCAAAAACTCAAGTTCAGATCCCCAGAACATATGTACAGCTAAAACGGCAGTATAGTCTATAATCCCACTGCTCCCATTGTAAGTGGGAGCAGCAACAGGAGAGTCCTCGGAAACTTGCAAGAATAGAGGGAAAGCAAGGACTGACTCCCAAAGCTGCCCTGTGTCCTCCATGTCCACACTTCAGGGAGACCGAGGCAAGAGGACCACCAAGAGTTCAAAGCCAGGTTGAGCTGCAGTGTGAGTTCTGGGCCAGCCTGGGCCTGCAATTTTAGCGTTTGGGAGATTGAGGCGAGGCCTACCAACAATGTGAGACCAGCCTGGGATATATAATGTGTTCTAGGCCAGCCTGAGCTACAAAATGAGACCTTGTTGGGTTTGTTTTTTTAAATCAACAAAAACCCTCATTGGTAAGGATCTTAAGAACCTGGAACTCCTGTGTGTGTATTTTGAGAACATAAAATGTTTCAACCAACCATTCCAGCTCCAAGACTATATTCCAAAGACACACCCCCATTTGCAAAGGGTGTCGTGTATGGCACTGTGGGGCAAGGTAAAGCTATGACCCGCAGCATCATCAGTACAGACTTCCCAGTGTGACGTGTCTTAAGGAGAAAGGTTTACACAGACACGCACTTCCGGAAACGGAGGGACTCCAGGAAATGGGCTGGGAGTAAATCTGCACCCACAAGCTCGCTACAAGGCAACTTAGACAAGGAAGCTAAGGGTGGAAGAGCCTCTCAGTTGGTTTCAAATATAAAACTGCTGACTTAGGTGGGTGTGGGACAGAGCCTTTAACACTAGCACTAAGAGGCTGAGGCAAGCATAGCTATGTCAGTTTGAGGCTAACCTAGTCTACATAGCAAGTTTCAGACTGCCAGGACTACATAATGAGAATCTGTTTCAAAAGAACAACAAAACTCTGTTTACTATTCTATAATGGGCAAAACCATTTCCATAATAAAAGGTAAGTTAAGCAAGCCTAAAAACCCTAACACAAAACTCAAATTTAGCTACCCACCCTTCTTCACCTGAACCCCAGTGTGGAGGGTGCCAGGCTGGAAACCCACCATGAAGAAGGCCCACGCTGGGATCAGCAAGGCCACAGCCGCAGCACTGGTGTAAAACTGCAGCTCCGGGGCCCTGGAGGGACAGGAAACACGTGATCTTTCTCCTGCTTCCACCCAGGCATTTTCAGCAAAGAAAACTCAAGAATCAGCAGTCAGAAATGCATCTCCCACAATGTCAAGGATGTAAGGGTCCCCATGACCTGAGCTGGCTGTTTGGTAACCCGAGGAGTGAGCTAGGAAGCAGGTGGTTTTCTCTCAATTTTTCACAAAGAGCTGTAAAATGGGTCTTAAGAAATCACAGTTGGTGCTGGATGTGGTGGTGCAGACCTTTGATCCCAGCACTTGTGAGGCCTGCTCTGTACAGGGAAGGCTAGGACAGCCAGGGCTACACAGACGTGTTATCTCACCCCTGCCCCGATTACCGCTACCGTCACCACGCCAAAATTAGAGACTATAAATCCTCTTACTGGAGATACTTACGAGAACCTGTATTTGTCCCCACTGAGAAGCTTTTTTGAAAAAACATTCTGCAAACTAGAACAAAGAAACATCAAACACTTAAGTCAGTCAGGAATAAGGTGAAGATCAAACGCCCACTAAGGCCAACAGCCACAGGGACCTGTACCAGGTGTGTCCAGTCGTCAGAAGTAGAAGTGTGCCTACTGTCCCTACAGACAAGTAAACAGCCTGAACGACCTGCCGTCTCAAACATGAGAGCACCACGATGGTTTTGCTCTGCACGCTTTGAAAACCCCAACATGGGAAGCTCAGGCAGGAAATTGAAGCAAGCCTGATCTATGTGAGACCCTGTTTCAAAACCCCAAAGGAAGGGCTGGAAGGGAAGGTTCAGTGGTTAAGAGCAGTTCTTACAGGAGGACAAAGGTTTGGTTCTTAGAACTGACAGGGTGGCTCACAACCTTCCATAATTCAAGTTCCAGAGACTCCATCGTCCTTTTCTGACTTCTGAAGGTTACTGGTGCACATGTGATGCACATACATACATGCAAACAAAACATTCATACATACATAATAAAAATAAATCTAGTTGGGTAGTGGTGGCGCATGCCTTTAACTCTAGTACTTGGCAAGAAGATGCAGACAGATCTCTGAGTTTGGTGCCAGTCTGGTCTACATAGTGAGTTCCAGGACAGCTGGGTCTACCAGAGAAACTCTATCTCAAAACAAAACAAAAAGCAAACAACAAAAAATTAAATCTAAGCCAGGAGTGGTGGCACACGCCCTTGATGCCAGCACTCAGGAATCAGAGGCAAGCAGGCCTCTGAATTCAAGGATAGCCTGGTCTACATAGTGAGTTCTAGGACAGCCAGGGCTAAGTAGAGGGACCCTGCCTCAAACAACCAAAATCTAAAACCAACCAAAAGAAGCAAAGTAAGCAAGCAAACAAACAAACCAAAATAGCTCACTGAATGAAGTTCCATAAATTCAGTAGCCTTGGGTTCCAGGCAAAAGAGGGCCCCGTGGCATGTGTACGACTGAATAAAACTAGTCATGCATGCAAAACCCCAGTGGGAAAAATCAGATTTTAAAGCCAGAACTTAGAAACAGACATATCACAAGGGAAACATACAAATAGCCATTGGGAAAATAAAAAAATCCTGGCTTCAAAAGTGACCTCAGAGATAGAACTTGACACAGTGGGACATTGTTGCCTAGCTTCTTACTGGAGAAGGATCTTAACTTAGTGTAGGAAATCCGCACAGACAGAATAGTGACCGAGGACGCTGTCTCAAGCCACAAGACAGCAGGAATCAAGAGCATCTTCAGAAGTCCGGGACTCATCCAGTGGTTTGCCTTTTAGAAGCTTACCCTACAGGCAAAGATTACCGGCATGTGTGCCACCACACCAGTCTAGCTACTATTTTGATTATCACAATTATCCTTACTGTGTGACCATATCCCTCTAGTTGTATATTAGCAATCAGGACTACATATCATCAAATTCCAGCTTTGTTTGGAGAAAATGCTCTGGAACTTATTGTTGTACTTCTTGAGAAACGGAAGGACAGTGGAGCCTGGCTCAGCTCGAATCTGAATACCCGTGGGCTCAGATGAGGCAAAACCAGCCCTTCTTAAGCAAGCTTCCTTCACCACCTCCCCTTGGGATCTCAACTCACCAATCCATAATGTTGGTGGATAACGCAGCTGAAAACCCCAGGACGTTGAAGCTCATCTCAGTGGCTGTGCACAATGCCAGGCCTCCCATGACTGGGATAAGGGACAGGTTGACCAACAGCCCTGGCAAGAACAAAACAGGAATGTGCATAAGTGTGGGTGCGCACAGGCCATGACACACACGTGGAGGATAGCCTGTGCAGACAGCTCTCTCCTTCCACCATTAGGTCCTAAGGACTGAACTCAGCAGCTCCTTCACCCACTGCTCTAGACCCTGTCTCTAAAAACAAAACAAGCAGGACTAGAGAGACGCTCAGGGGTTAAGAGCACTGGCTGCTCTGAAGGTCCTGAGTTCAGTTCCTGTACTCACAAGGTGGCTTACAACCATCTGTAATGACATCTGGTGCCCTCTTTGGGCCTGCAGGAATAATGTATACATAATTAATAAATTAATTTTTTTTCACAGCAGGGTTTCTCTGTGTAGCTTTGGAGCCTGGCCTGGCACTAGCTCTGTAGCCCAGGCTGGCCTTGAATTCACAGAGATCCGCCTGCCTCTGCTTCCCAAGTGCTGGGATTAAAGGTGTACGCCACCACTGCCAGGAAATAAATAAATCTTAAAAAAAAAAATTTTGTTCACTGCAATGAAAATCACATTTTCCACCTCTGTTAATCTTGGAAATGACAACAGATACTTCACAGAACCTTTTCAATTTTAAATAGAGTCCTTTTTTTTTTTTTTTTTGGTAGAGGACTTATTTCAACTGTCACAGAAAATAAGGACATGTAGCTGAACAAGACCCAGCACGTAATGGGCAGCAGGTGATACTACAGATGAAAATAAAAGGTGCTGAGGCCCAGGCCAGGCCGAAGGGCAGGACCAGGAGAGCCCCTACCTGTATACTCCCCCAGAATCATTCGAGACATGATCACAGTGAAAATGGGAGCTGAGCTCTTCACAGTCTCAGCGAAGGACACTGCCACATTCTTCAGGCTGACCAGCCCCAAAACCACAGTGGCAAACCTTAAAACAAGAGAAGAGCAACATGAGAAGGCACGTCTGCTTATAAAACAGACTCCAAGTGCTTAGCCACGACCAGTGGGCACATCCAGTCCCTCTTCCCAACAAGTAGGCTGAGCCCCAGGTGAGGGCAACCCTACTGCACTCCAGGATGGCAAACACCTTCCAACCACGACTGAGTTACCTTTTTAAAAACATCTTATTTGAGACAGAGTCTCACTATGTAGCTCCGGCTGTCCTGGAACTCACTATGTAGCCAGACTGGTCAAATTCACAGAGATCCACCTGCCCCTGCCTCCCAAAGACGTGCACTGAATTACTTTTTAAGGCTGCCTTATAAAAGACTCAAGAGAGAATGAACGTGGCATCAACTGATGGATACCCCCCATCTGGATAGCCCTATAGTTGTATCCTGTGCTGGAAACACGCACTCAGACACACTAACTGCCACGGCCTCCAATAGGGTTTCCCCACTTACTAACTAGAAAGGTATTTGTTTTGGTTTTGTTTATCAAGACGGGGTTTCTCTGTATCTGGCTGTCCTGGGCTCTCTTTGTAGACCAGGCTGGCCTCAAACTCAGAGAGACCCACCTGCCCCTGCCTCCTGAGTGCTGGGACTAAAGGCATGAACCAACACTCCCAGATCGTAGAGGTGTTTTATATCTAAAGAAACAAGTAAGATGGCCAGCACATTGTACCTCATGAGGCCCACGAAGAGCATGGTCATGATGAAATTGGGTGGGTAAGAGAGCCGGGTTTTGTGTTGATACAAACAGCAAGGAACAAATATTTTAACGCATCCAATTAATGTCGTAGACAGCATCTGCACAGCACCTGTGGAGGGAGCATGGGGCGCACTGAGAACAGTCCTTTCCCACACGTGAGCACAGACATCACCCTTCACTCCAGGACACTTCTGAGTAAGCCCCTTTAGCTTTTCCCACCCTCCTGGTGGCCTCTGGCCATTCAGCATCGGCTCCAACAGGAGAGCATACCGGGCAGGCAGCATATCCTAGCATGCCAGGCAAGGCAGCATTACCTAGCATGCTGGGCTCTCCCTCTCTCTACAACAGGAGAGCACACTGGGCAGGCAGATTTACCTAGCATGCTGGGCTCTCCCTCTAGCAGCGACAGGATGTACTTGTTGAGGAACAGCGTACAAAAGCTGAAGAAGAACCACAGCGTGAGGTAGATAAGAGCCCTTGAGCTCCACACACCCAAGTCAGACTCAATGACAGTGGTCTCCGTGATGGTGACGGTGAGCAGGCTCTCCTCTGGACTTCCATCACCTTTGGTAAAGACAATCTTCTCACTCCGGTGACCAAAAAGGGGGCCCCAAGTGGGAAGTGACTTTCCTCTCAGCTCCTCTTCGCAGCCAGGCACTGTCTCCTCCGGGGCTTGGGATTTTGCTGATGACATGCTGAGGGGACTTGTGGGACATGAACCTCAAGGATGGACCACATGGATCAAAGTGACTTCCCCTGCAGAGGGACACAGTTGGAGGAGCAGGCAGCGGTCCTGGTCTGCATGAATGTGGACCCCGACATGTCTGTTTCCAGCAAAGTGAGGACGCAAAGGCTGAAACGTTAGAAAAGAAACTGCATTACTAACTTTGGACATCTCCTATTCTTCTGTAATCTGTGTATGATGCATGTGTGCACCTGAATGTGTTTAAGGGAAGACACACGTGGAGGTCAGAGAGCAACCTTGGGCCTGACTTGCACCTTGCTTGCGGTCCACTGTTGAGCTAGCTGTTCCACAAGCCGACAGGGCCCTCCTGTCACTGTTTCCTCTCGTCTTCCAAAGATTCTGTTCTGGTTTATCTTGCCGTATAAGGAAATATAGCTGCCTGGACCCGAGACTCCACCGACCTCGGAAGGTGCCAGGCTGAGGCAGTCCCCTTACTCTTGCCAGGCTGGTCCTTCCCTGATTGGCTCAGCTCAACCCAGACCTGGAGTTCCTTCTGCCCCTGGTCTCTAAGACAGTTTGCATGAGGTTTGTCCACACCTTCCACAGATAACCCTTGGTACTTTATCCAGAGTTTCTCAATGCTCACCACATTGAGTTTTTAATTCATGAAAGTCCTATTTGTTTCTGTTTCAAATTGGCCTGTTCTCATTTTGGTCTTTCAATTCCTCTTTCATATATCCTTTACGGTCGCTGATGATTCATTATCCATAGACCGTGGCTACCTAGGCCCATTTTTTTCCTTGGTGGATGGATGAGTTCGCCTAGTTCTGGCTTTGAGCAGGGTCTCGTCTTTGACCTGCTTAATCTCATCAGAACTTCACTCCAGGCTGGGGACGTAGGCCTTTGGTAGAGTGCTTGCCCACCATTCACAAGGCCTGAGGTTTGAGCCTCAGCACTCAAACAATAAAAACTGAAGGTGCATACCTTTAATCCCAGCACTTGGGAGGCAAAGGCAGGCAAATCTCTGTGAGCTTGAGGCCTGCCTGGTCTAGAGCGAGTTCCAGGACAGGCTCCAAAGGTACACAGAGAAAATCTGTTTTGAAAAAGAAAAATTGAAAAACAATCAAAAACACTACCACGCAAGTAGCTTTAAAGAGCTGTTTGTTGCTTGGGCTTCCTGATTTTGGCTTCTATGGTTTGGAGCATTGGCTGCTCTTCCACAGAACCTAGTCTAATTCCTAGTACCCTCCGTAACTCCAGTTTCAGGGCACCAGGCATGTACGTGGTTCACATATATACATGAAGACAAAATACCCATACACATAAAATTTTTAAAAAGGGCACCTCTTCCCTATCCCTTTCTTTTTACGTTTAAGAGTGCTCTGCCTGGGGGGCTGGAGAGATGGCTCAGTGGTTAAGAGCATTGCCTGCTCTTCCAAAGTTTCTGAGTTCAATTCCCAGCAACCACATGGTGGCTCACAACCATCTGTAATGAGGTCTGGTGCCCTCTTCTGGCCTGCAGGCATACACACAGACAGAACATTGTATACATAATAAATAAATAAATTTTTTTTTTAAAAAAAAAAAAAGAGTGCTCTGCCTGCATGTTTGTGCACCATGTGTGTGGCTGGTGACTACAGAGGTCAGCAGAGGGTGTATGATCACCTAGAACTGGAGTTACAGAGGGTTGTGAGCCACCATATAGGTGATGGGAGGCAAAGTCAGGACTTCTACAAGTGTCTCTCTATCCCATCCCTCTTTCTGAGGCACACTGCAGGTATTAGCTCCGGAGTGTGATCCAGCTTCATGTCCTTCTGGATATCATGGTTCCCACCTCACTAGGACCCTTAGTTCATACTTCCATGTTTGCATGTGCCTGACTCATGTCAAATGATCTGTATGTATAGTGGAGGATGTACACTCTGCCTGCCTGCGCTCACCGTGTGTACTTTGCTATCTGTAGTATAGAGGATGCCATACTCAGCTGGGCAGAGCCTGCAGCCCTGTCCTGTCCCGTCACCCTTCTCCACCCAGGGCTCTGCCAAGTCTCATCATTACCTTGGTGTCACCTGATCCTAGCAAGTATTCCTTCTCCCATCATGACCCCTCAGTACACAGGAGAAGTCCTGCAGTGTGTCCCAAACCACTATGGGGATGGCACTGTTCCTCAAGCTCCCTGGGTTCTGTTAAGCCAGACCTCTACCGAATGCTGTTTTCTTCTTCCTCACCTCTGGCAATGTCACAGTTTGGCTCCAGTGACAACTTACTGGTAGCTGAACGTCCTAGGCTCCAGGACTGTCCAAGCCCTGTGCTGGGATGGAAAGAGAATTTATGCTCCACCATCTCCCTTTCCTGCCCAGGAGAGCAGTCAGATTGAAAGTAGAGTGGCCATTTTACTATCTGGAAGAAAAAGTTCAGAAACAAAAATCACTGCCTCCTTGTTTGTATAGTGGTGAGTATCCCTGCCTGTCACGCGGGAGACCGGGGTTCGATTCCCCAACGGGGGAGGGAGGGAGGTATCACTGCCAAGGTGTTGGAGTAAATTTTATACCTGGGGACATCCAGGACCCCCAATCATCCCTCAAACAGACCTTTTGGTGGGCAGATTCTGTTCTGTGCCAGTGCCTTATACCCTCTGACAGTGGCCCTAAAGCTACAGCATTCAGCTACCCCCTAGTTGACAGCTCCACTCCTCCTGTCAGATCCATAATAGGAAGACTCTAAACAGTTCTGTTTCAATCTCCAGGAGACACTCCTCCAAACACAGCATATAAATTCCTTAGCCACCACTGAGCTTCCAACACTGTACTCATCTGTAGGGCAAGGGTGACATTCAACAGAGCCAGCACGATGGCCCGTTGGGTACCACCCACCCTGGGACTCTCCCGGCAGAGCAAAGAATGACTACTGAACTTCTGCCCTCTGTGCCCACACCACTGCACACAGGTCACCACCAATCCACCAACACCTACACAACAAGTAAAGTGTAATTTTAAAGATGTGTAAAATGACACTCAACAAACATCCATCAGGTCAGCAAACAGAGAGATGAGAGAAGTCCTATGCTCTCAGCATTGACAGATAATGCAAGTGGCTACAAATATTACAAAACAAAGCTTGAGCTCAAATGTGTACTCACCTTTGCTCAACCATCTTTCTCCCAGCAGTCATTTCACTCAGCTCTTATCAGGAATTCACAACATTTAGGCAACTGGTCCTTGTCCTCTGGTGAGGCAATGTGCTCACCATGAGCCCTAGGAGGCAGTATCTATGGGCCTAGAGACCCTACAAAGCCCAACATCCCAGCCTTCACCACTCAAGCTTGGTTAAGACCATTCATGGAACTAGGAACTGTCTGTTACAATAACTTAAGGAAAAAAATAATTTTAGACAGACTCATTCCCAGTCATTACCACACACCATCTCCCTATTTATAAAATGGCACATGCATCCTCCCCTACCAACACTTGGGTTGAGCGACCCAGAATATCCACTCATCATCTGCAAGTGTTTCTGCTGGCTGCCCTCGGGAGCAGAGACACCCTTCACAGCATGTGCATATGCGCACCATTATAAGACACGGTACAGACGCTACACCCCCATTTCTGCTGCTCTTGTCTGAGGTCCTCCAGCCAGGGTTTATTTTCCTGCTCTGAGATTCTCCAGCTAGAATCTGTTTTCCTGCCCACACAGTTCTTCCCGTTTCCCTCTTCACTCAGGGCATTAACACCATGAAACGTCTGCACCCCCAGCGTGCGTGTTGCCACAGCCCATGTCCCAGGAATAGAGCCTAATCTTCCCCATGTTAAGCATTTCTGACTGGACCAAGCAGTAGAAAGTCCTACCACCAATTGTGGATTCAAATGAAGACCCAGGATCTATTAGCAACAAAGAGGAAAAAGAGGCCCGATATCTCCAGCAGTAAAGTATGAGAACCTCAAAGAAAAGTTCAAGTTTCAGATCATGTTTCATGCTCTTTGATGATTCAAGGGCAACCAAGCAAGGAACCACTGAGAGAAGCCACTCCCACAGCGACACCGGTGGATTTTGTTCACTCCACTGATTAGAGAACATTCTGACAGTGCAAATGCAAACAGACTCCAGACATGACCTTCCAAGAGTCAGGGTCAGCAGGAATGAGGTGCAAGTCTGTAACCCCAGCACCGGGAGGACATGGCAGGAGGTGACTAAGTTTCAGGCCAGCGTGGGAAGTGTAGTGACCTGTTTCAATTCTCCCACCTCTCCTCTAGCACACAGTCTTTGTGACGGTTGGCCTTTTGACAAACTGCCCACTCTGCCCACCTGACCAGGCACTGTGAGGAAGGCCAGCACAGGTCACAGAAACCCCACAGGCCTTGGCCAACATAAACCCATGAGATGCACCAGGCAGCCACTTTTCCAATTTTTAAAATTACATTTGTTTACATAGTTTTTGTGAGCAGGGGTGGGTTCGTGTGTACATAGCATGTCTGTGGAGGTTGAAGGAGTTGGTTCTCACCTTCTCGTATGTAGGCCTAAGGGATCAAGGTGGGTTTGTCAGGCTTGAGGGTGGGTGTCCAAGTTTGAACAGAATGTACAGAGACCGAGACCTGGGTAGCTAGGCATGAAGAAGAGAAAATGCAGGTTTGGATCTATACCCCATGATTGGCTTTTGAAAAGCCACTTCTCACTGTGGACCTAGAATAAGGCAGTTTCTTATTTAATTTTCTTGCATAGCTGCAGATTCCTTAGAGTGAGACAACTGTGATGCCCACCTTTAAACTCTAGTTCTCTTCAGGGCATATGCTCTTCCTGGAACTCACTTTGCAGACAAGGCTGGCCTCGAACTCACAGAGATCCACCTGCTTCTGCCTCTCGAGTGCTGGGATTAAAGGCGTGAACACCACTACCGGGCCCTCACTGGTTAATAAAGAGCTGATTAATAGCTAGGCAGGATTTTGGGGGAAGAAAGGAGGCTGGGAAGAAAAAAGCCAGAGTCACCAGGAGATTCAAAGAAAAGCGATATGAAATAGCAGTGCTGAAAAAAGGTACTAAGCCAAGACGTAGTATATAGATAAGAAATATGGGTTAAGTCGTAAGAGCAAGTCAGTAACAAGCATAAGAGTCATCTAAGTCTTTTGACATCAGCCATGACCAACAGGATTTGGAGCTTACCATGCTAGTTTTTGTTTTGGTCCAGGATTTCCTCACTGTGTCCCCCTTCCTCCTGTTTGGAATAGTGATATATATTCTGTGTCATTTTATGTTAGAAGTATATAATTTGATTTTTACTTTAAAGGGAATTACAGTTAAAAAGGTGGATTTTGTGAGCTCACGACCAGCCTGGCCTACAAATCAAGTACCAAGACAGTCATGGCTGTTACACAGAGAAATCCTGTCTCGAGAAATTAAAAAGTCTTGACTGAAAGACTGTGGGGACTCTTGAAGTTGGTCTGAATGCATTTTGCATTATGATATGACTGTAAACTTCTTGAGGCCAGGGAGTGGAGTGTGACTGTTTGAGAACAGCCCCCATCAGCTCATATATGTAAGAATGCTTGATCCCCAGTTGGTAAAACTGTTTGGTAAGGATTAAGAGGTGTGGCCTTATAGGAGGAAGTGTGGGGAGGGTGAGGTTTCAAAAGTCCACACCATTCTAGTTAGTGTACACACTCACTCTTTGTGCCTTGTGGTTGTTATCTTATCATGTAAGCTCTGAGAGACTGTTCCAGCACCATGACTGTCTGCCTGCGGCCATGCTCCCCATGATGGTCAGGAACTCACCCTCTGAAATTTTAAACAAGCCAAAAAAGGTATCTCTTTTTTTAAAAAAATTTTTACAAGTTACCTTGGTCATTATAGCAATAGAAAAGTAACCAAGACACATAACTCCACGTAACTTAAAAATAATAAAGGAAAAGTTTCAGCCACGGTGGTTACACACTGTTGTGGAATATTCCTTTACACTGTGTGAAGATATTCCACTGGAACTGTTTCAATAAAACGCTAAATGGCCAACACTAGGCAGGATTTTGGGGGCAGCCAAAACACTGGGACGAAGGTGAAGTCACCAGCCAGATGCATAGGAAGCAGGACACGCAGGAGGAGAGGTGACAGCCACGAGCCATGTGGCAGCATGTAAATTAATAAAAATGGGTTAAGTTACAAGAGCTAGTTAGAAGCAAGCCTAAGCTATCAGTCAAGCTTTCATAATTAATAAGTCTCTGTGTCGTTATTAGGGAGCAGGCAGGCGGGACAGATAAAAATCCAAAGACAACACACCTTTAATCCTACCATCTTGGAGGTAGATGGAGACAGAGCTCTGTGAGTTCAAGGCTGGCCTGTTCTAGATGGTGAGTTCCAAGATAGCGGGGCTGTGTGGCCAAACTCTGTCTCAAAAATTAAATAATTAATTAAATAAGTACAGCCATAAAAAGAAAAGTTATTCTATTAGGGAAGAAAAAGATATGTTAATGACCTAGAATGCAGCTCAAAGACAGCAGATTAAAAGACTAAGGAGACATTACCAGATATGGGAGAAGCAATAAGAATAAAAGTTCAGGGGCTGGAGAGATGGCTCAGAGGGTAAGAGCATTGCCTGCTCTTCCAAAGGTACTGAGTTCAATTCCCAGCAACCACATGGTGGCTCACAACCATCTATAATGAGGTCTGGTGCCCTCTTCTGGCCTGCAGGCATACACACAGACAGAATATTGTATACATAATAAATTTAAAAAAAAAAGTTCAGAAGGGCCCGGCTTGGTCAGGGCCTATAATCCCAGCCATCCAGGAGGATCACACATTCGAGGTCTGCCTGGGCCACAAAGCAAGTTCAAGACGAACACAGGCAACTAAGTGAGACTCTGTCTAAAATAAAAAAGGTTAAGGATATAGCTTAGTGACAGAATACTTGGTTAGCATACATGAGGCCCAAGGTTCAACTCACAATATCATTAAGAAAAAGAAAAAGAGAGCTGGAGAGATGGCTCAGCCGTTAAAGGCTAGGCTCACAACCATAAATATAAAGAAAAAGAAAAAGAAATTGTCGGGTTCAGTAGGTAAGAATATTGCCTGTTCTTCCAAAAGACCCAGGCTTAATTCCTAGCAACCACAGCAGCTCACAGCCATCTGTAACTCTAGTTTCGGGGGATTTCGTACTCTCTTCCAGCCCCTGTGGGCACCAGGCACTCAAGCAGTACACAGACATAAATGTGGGTAAAACACCTACACACATTTTAAAAAAATAAAAGTAATCACACGATGATATTGAGAAGAAACTTCTGAGCATTACCTATGTCAGGCTGAGGACTGAAAGGGCTCTGAACAACACTGAGCACCAAGAACAGTCCTGTTTGACAATACCAGAACAGCCACGGCAACACACAGAGAAACCCAGACGATAGACAACGGACACCAGATTCAGAAGTAAGGACAGTTGTCAGATGCAGGCAGCACTCTGGCTACTGCCTAGCTCACTGCTCCCATGCAGCGCTGAAATAAAGGGATCATTTGGTTTTGGAGAAATGGCTCAGTGGTTAAGAGCACGGGCTGATCTTCTAGAGGACCCAGGTTTGCTTCCCAGCACCCACATGGTGGCATATAGCCATCTGTAACTCCAGTTTCAGGGGATCCAATGCCCTCTTGTCTCAGAGGGCAACAGGCATACACAAGGTTCATAAATAAACACTGGAAGCAAACATTCATACATATAAAATAAAATTTTTAAAAAATCAGAGATTATTTGTTGGTTACTATAATACCACATGGACAAGCTCCTGGAGAAGTAGGAAAGACCTTTGGGGGCAGAGTCTGACTCTACAGATCAACCAAGGGCTACACAGCTCTAGTCTGGCAGAGTCCGACTCTCCCAGTCCTGGTCCAGTTCTGCCTTCCCTATCCACAATCCATGACAATTACAAAGATAAGAAAGACTTTGGTCTGCAAAAGCTGAAGGTCAGCAGAGATCTGGCAACAAGCTGCTTGCATAAGAACTGGCGATTGATTTTACCTGCGTGGGCCTGGGAGACAGTTACAGCTACTCAACTTGATCTTGAGGTATGTAGAACGAGCCACCCAACCCTATCACTGGCTGTAAAGTCTGAGTCACCATGACCCTCTCAGATTAAATGTACTTCTAGGAACAGATAAAAACCAAGATGTAACTTCCCTTCTTCTGGATTATTAAGACTCTCTTGCTGGCCAGGCCATGAGGCACACACCTTTCAACGCAGCACTCAAGAGTCAGACGCTGGCAGATCTATGTGTTTGAGGCCATCCTGGGCTTCAGAGTGCATGCCAGGACAGCCAGGGCTGTACAGAGAAACCCTGTCTGTTCCAAACAAACAAAAGACTCCCTTGCTGACAAGACCTGACTTGTGAGCTTTTACTCTAGTCCGTCAAAGATGTGCGTACAGAGCTCAAAGGAAAATGAAGCACACAGTGCTCTAGACCAACAGCAAAGACATGACGTTAAAGCTACAAGAACCAACAGCTGCTTGCCTGGGATTAGCAGGCAGTGGTAATCTAGTGAGATTATCTATTTTTTTTTTTTTTGAGACAGGATCTTGATGGTAGCCCAGGCTGGCCCTGAAGGTGTGGGTTCTCTTGTACCAGCCTCCAGAATGCTGGAATCACAGGCACTCCACCATGCCCGGTCAAGATACCATTTTTACACCATTCAATGCTTACTTTTTCCATTTTCTAGTTCCATGAATCTCAGGTTAAGAATGTCTATTTTTGGCCTGTGTTCATGGTGCTTCGGGTGGAGCGGAGGACCACAGAACCTCCGAGTGTAGCCTCCAACCACAGCCTCTCTGCAAGCCAAGGATGCATATCTGCAGGACTGGGCCAAGAAGATCTGCGCACAGCCTGGCTCCAAGCGGCAGGGGAGCAAGTGGGCTGTCAGAACAAAACACTTGAAAGCTGCCGGGCCCCCAAAAAAGAAATCTCGGGAACAGGACCAGAAAGCTACAGAGCACAAGACTAAGCCCCCAGGGAAGATGGCTCCCACCTCTTCTAGGGCTAAGAAACCCAAGAACTCCAGCTCCCTGGAGTCCCCTGAAGATGGCCAAGTCACAGCACCTGATTCTGTCTTTGCACTGGATTTCCTGCGACGGGACCAGGGTAGCACCAAGGAGCTGTCTGCTGCCACTCTAGAGAAAAGACAGCAGAAGAAGCAGGAGAGGGAATGGAAGAAGAGGAAGCAGAAGGAGCTTCGAGCAAAGGAGGAGCCAGCCGAGGCCCCCCAGATGTGGCATGCCAGCCGAGGCCCCCCAGATGTGGCCTGCAAGGAGCTGCAAGAGTCAGGGCTTATCTTTAATAAGGTGGAAGTGACTGAAGAGGAGCCGGCCAGCAAGCCCCAGAGGAAGGAGAAGCGGCAGAAGGTGAAAGGAAGCCGGACACCACTGACGGGCAGGAACTACAGGCAGCTGCTGGAGCGTCTGCAGGCGCGGCAGGGCCGGCTGGAGGAGCTGCGAGACCAGGATGCAGGCAAGGTCCAAGAACTGGAGGCCAAGATGAAGTGGACCAACCTGCAGTACGGGTTGTGTGTGTGTGAAGGTGGAGGGTGTGAAGATCCGTGACAATGAGCACCTGCTGTGGGAAGCCTTGCAAGGCAGAGCAGAGCGCTGTGCTGGTGGAAGAAGCGCTCAGAACACTTGGTAGAGAAGACACAGCAGCATCAGGATAAGCGGTGCCAGAACCTGCGCAAGAAGGCCATGAAGGCCAAGTGGCGGCTGCGGAAGGCTCACAAGAAGGGCCGGGAGCCACCACAGGACCTGGAGCGAGCAGGCCTCTCCTGAGCAGCTTGCACCTGCCACATTCCTGGCCAGACACCTAGGTGACAGACTGTGGGTCTCCTATGTGAGACTGACATGTTCTTGCAACACATAGCCACAGTGAGGGCTCCAATAGTGTGCTAAGAGGATGTCTGGCCATCATCCTTAAGTAGGACAGTGTCCTCCAGTCCCTGGGAGGGATGAAGAGGATCTGTGCCCAAGACTTGTGAGAGTGTGTGTGTGTGTGTGTGTGTGTGTGTACGCCCGCATGTCTGTCTGTCTCTGTCTGTGTGTGTATTCATGTTTCTGAAGGCTCCAGAATCAGGGTAGAAGTTGAGGTGGAGGTGCCCACCTGACCTCTTCCTACCCACCTGTATTTCCGGTGACCATGGGAACAAAAGGCCTTGACTACTGCTTCAGTGTTCACAAGTCTCTGGCAACAGAAGGGAGCCCACAGGAGTTCTCAGGGGAATATGATCCTGTTAGGTCTGTCTCTGGGCCAGAGCTTCAAAACCCAGAGTCTTTCTGGGATCCACAGGATGGGCCTTGGGTAACATGGCCTCCTGTGAGCCAATTGGTATCAGCGCTTGGGAAGGAGTGGTCAGTTTAACATAAGCTAGAGTTATCTGAGAAGAGGGAGCCTCACTGAGGAGACAACCTCACTGGACTGGCCTGCGGGCAAGTCTGTGGTCCACTTTCTTTACTGGTGAATGATGTGGCAGTGCCACCTCTGGGCTCGTCGTCCTGGGTTAGATAAGAAAGCTGGCCATGCGGAGCAAACCAGTAGGCGATGTTCCTCCATGGGTTTTGCTTTAGTTCTACCTCTAGGTTCTTGCCCTGACTTCTCTTGGTCATGCACTGTTACCCGGATATTAACACGAAATAAACCTTTTCCTCCCCACGCCACAAAACAATGTCTATTTTTGGCTGAAGTGATAGCTCAGGGGGTAAAGGGACCTCCTGCCAATCTACCTCCACATATGCCATGGCACATGCGTTCTCACACATACATTCTTTTTCAAATCTGTCCTTAGTGGAGGATGAGGGTCACTGGTAGAAGGCTAGCCTAGCATGCTCAAAGCCCATCACAAACTGGAGAACAAGGAAAGGAAAAACAGGAGCAGATGGAACAGAGGACTGGGGATGTTCTCAAACACCTGGCCAGGACATCTGGATTGGTCAGCGGTGACTTAGAGAAAACATATCAAACCTATATCATGCATGTCTGTGAGTTTACCTCGGGGAAATAACCCAGCAAAGGGTGCTCATTCTGTCCACCCCCTCTTGCTTCTAACACCAGCACTGCATCAGGCCAGTCAGTAGTGAAGAATTTGTACCGAGGGAGGGTGGTTACCCCTGACTAAAGCAACACACTGCAGCTATGGTGGCTTTTGAGGAATGGGTACTTTCAGAACCATTTATGTGGTGTGCGCAGATTAAAGGCACATCCACATTACCGGCCACAAAGCAGCATGTGGCAGACCGGTCCTTTAGTTCTCTGTCTTCCCATCTTCTAATCCGTCTACACAGGAAAAGAATCACTTTAAAAGCCTTCCTAGCTCCTCACTTAATGAAATAACAAAACACTGAACAAGGAATTCACCTCTAGATCACAGTGTTTTGCTTTTTGTTTTATGCTTTTGCACGCCTCAAGGATGCAAACCATCAATGTTGCAGCCAAACTGTTTTATGCCGGGAAAGTTCCAGTTGAGAAAAAAAAACCGCTAGCTCGCTAAGATAAAGTTGCAGCTCTGGACCTGGCGGCGTCGCCCATTTACAGCACGAAATAACATGCTTCCGGAGCCAGAGGCAGTAGAAGCAGGCAGATGACAGGGTGCCTGCACTTGCCATCCGGGCGGCGCCTCCTTCCTGACGCCTGCTGCGGCTACAACCGCCCGCGATCCCGCCGGTGCCCACCCCGGTCTCCACCTTACCTGTGCGTCCTGCCCTGCGAAGTCCGCCACCCGGGCGCCCGGTCCCTATTTTGCCCCGGGCTGACTCCAGGGCGAGGTGATGCCCGTCCCCCGTGGGGCTCAGTGCTGCACGATGCACCGGAATCGACTGCGCGCCGTCCGCCCACGCCAACGGACGGTGCAGCTAGGTTCCCCGACGCCGCCCACTCGGGGCAGAGCAGCTTCGCGCGGAGGAGAGCCGGGTTCGCGGCCAGGGCTGAGGGCTACACACCCCCTGGCGGCCCGCCCGTAGGGCGCAGCGAGCTTGAAGTTGAAACGCACAGGCGTGGGCTGGAACCGGATGTGACGCACAGGAAGTCGCAGCGGCGGAAGCGGGTCCGGGTGAGCCCCCTGGGGGACACCTTGGTTCCCTCCAGACCCGAGCCGGGGCCCTTGCACGCACGTATGTCGGTGCCTTCTGTCACGTTCGGGCGCAAACCACGCGCGCGCGTGTGTATGGGGGGGGCTTTTCCGTTTGTAGCGCGACCGTGTGGCCTCCCGTTGGCTCCTTCCGGGCTGGTAATACGGAACGGAAGAGCAAGTCCCGTACCCCCCCCCCCCCCCCGGTCATCTTTGGAACGTTCCACCGAGACCGAGACCGGAGGGGTCGAGTCGCAAAGGAGGCACAAGGTACCGATCTGCAAGTCCAGCCTGGATTTTGATATCGAGGAGCCTAAAAAACAATCTGACTAGAAAACAAACGCAGCGAAAACAAAAGCGCTCACGGACGGACACACGAGCCACCCCCGCACCGGACTCCCTGCGTCTCGGGTGCGGTCACGAGCTGCGGAGCGGACCGGGACCGTGGCGACGAGGCCCTGGGTGGAGCCGGAGGAAGCTCGCTCGGCGTTTGAGCGTCCCTTGTGGCCACTGGCCGCCAGAACCCTCCGCTGCTTAATGGAAGGGTCTTCTGTGGGTATATTGAGGCTCTCTGTAGCTGGAGATCCTGCCCGTAAAGCTCCACTTTTTATCAAACCTTCATTTGTTTTTTTTTTTTTTTCTTGGTTGTTTGACAGTCAGTAAGGCTTCTCCTTCAAATCTCACCCAGAATAAGTTAAAATAGAGCTTCTTAAACCTTTTCCACTGGAAAACCCTTTCCATATGCAAGTCATACATTTACTGATAATCAACCTTAAATTTATCCTAAAACAAAAAAAAAAATTTTTTTTTTCCGAGACAGGATTTCTCTGTAACAGTTCTGTCCTGGAACTAGCTCTTTTGGACCAGGCTGGCCTCGAACCTCTGCCTCCCAAGTGCTGGGATTAAAGGCGAGTGCCTCCACCACCACCCAGTCTAAAACAATTCTTTGTTGAGAGGCAGAGACCAGACTGGTCTACTTGGAGAATTCCAGGAGAACCAGGGCTACGTAGTGAGACCCTGTCTCAGCAAACAAACAAAATCCAGTTCTTTGGTATGCATGCAATTTTACCCCGTACTAAAGACGAAAGCAAACTGGCTTAAGAATGAGAAGCATGCTTTATTTCACGGAACTGAATATTTATACTGCAGGACATAGAGTATCTTCAGCATTTTTTAGAGTTGATATTTTTAGTCCTCATTGATAAGGACACAGCTTCATTTAAATTCTGTAGTACAAACTGGCATAAGTAAGCCCCTAATTAAATGCTTCCTCTGACAACTTTCCTTGGTCATGGTGTAATGATTCAGCCACACAACATGTCTGACACTTCTGGGTTCCAGGGCCACGCGTGTGCTGGCAAGCCCTCAGGCAGAAGTGCCTAATGGCCTGGGAATCGTAAAGGACCCCGCGTGACCCACAGGCAGCGTGGTTGATGATCTACGTATGACGTAACCACGACATTCCCCACCCACCCACCCAACCCCACGTGTCCCGTGTTTCCTTCTCACTCGCGCCAGGTAATTTCACATGGCATGTCTTCACAGGAATAGAATAGGAACTACAACATGGAGTAACAGGTATAATCTCATCTCTGTAAGAAGGCTAAGGGCTAGGCATGGTCCTATAGGTGAGATTATAGGTGCACACCTATAATCTCAGCGCTGTAACAGAGCCCAGACATCAGCACACAGCTGACTCGGTGAGGGAAGCACCATTAGAACACAAATCTCAGCAAATGAACAGCACCACCTGCCAAAACAAAATGAAGACCTAGTCCATCAATCCATAGTTCTGGGAAACTCTTAAGTGGACTAACCTTGCATTTTGGGTTCTGTAGTTCCACCTCTGGCGGACTGGCAACCCAGAATATGGTTTTTGTGCGTAAAAATCTCACCCCCGATATAGGCTTGGTACTACACTGGAATCCGGAACACCTGTGTAGTGGTCAGCCAGCTAATTCTATTGGCTTAAACCCATATCCGAGGCATCTTCCTGGTGACTACCCCACCACTGGAGGCAGGACTGATCTACAGGGTAAGTTCCAGGGTATCCAGGGCTACATAGAGATTCTGTCTTAAATAAATAAAAATGAAGAGGCCAAAATATGTACTGGCTGAGGTGGCACACACCTGTTATCCCAATCCCAGCACTCAAAAGACTGAGGCAGAAGGATCCCAGTTCTACACCAGCCATGACTACATAGCAAAAATTTGCCTTTAAAAAAAAAAGTGAGAGACACCCAGGAGCCTGCATGGATTGACCTAGGCCCTCTGCATATATGTTACAAATATATGTATGTGTAGCTTGGGCTTCCTCATCCTCATACTGGGTTGCCTTGCACAGTCTTTTTTTTTTTTGGATTTTCGAGACAGGGTTTCTCCGTAGCTTTTTTGGTTCCTGTCCTGGAACTAGCTCTTCTAGACCAGGCTGGCCTCGAACTCACAGAGATCTGCCTGCCTCTGCCTCCTGAGTGCTGGGATTAAAGGCCTAAGTTAAATTTCTTTACCTGGGCTTGGTGACCCAGAACTGTAATCCCAGCTTCCTGGGTGACTGAGGCAGGAGGAACACAAAGTTTAAGGCTTGCCTGAACCCTGAACCGAGGAACCACGGAGTGAGTTCAAGGCCAATCTGGGAAACTCGGTGACCCAGTTCGAGGTAAACATTAAAAACAAGGCTGAGACTGTAGCTCAGATTAGAGTGCTTATCTGTGTGGCTCAGTCTTGGGGCAGTGGTGGGTCTGACTTCTAGCCTCAAAGTATCCTGTAGGCCATGGAAAGGATGCAGGCTCTGGACAAGGAGACCAAGTTCTGGGTTCTGGATAATGTGGGGTTATCACGCCAGTGAGCAGTTTCAGGAATGCTGGCACCAGGAACCTTCCCTTCACAAGGTGAGGCCCCAGGTACTGGGTATGTTCTAGCAAACAACAGCCATTCTTGCTGTCAGTGGCTTCCTGAGTCCTTCTGACTAAATCTGTGATTAACACTAAATCTGTGCTCAGGGCGGTGAAGTAGGGAAGCAAAAGGTATGTGGATCTAACCAACAGTAAACCTTTGAGTCTTGACCCTGTCAAAGTGGGCCTAAACAGAGCAGGCAATGACCACCGGGGGCCTGAGCTGGCCTACAAGGTGAGAGGGGTAAAGGCCACTGGCTGACCCTTTGTTCAGCTGTTTGTCCTGAGAACTGTGTTGGGACCTAGGCAGGGTCAGGGCTGCATAGAAGCGGTTACCCCAGTGGTCATATTACTTTTCTAGTACCAAACAAGCTCTTGACACACAGGCAGTGCACTGGTGTGACCGTGCCCACAATATACAGGCTGCTAAGTGCTGGCAGAGATCTGCCTGGCTACCCCCGACCTAGACTAGGTATTTGGATGGTTGGCGGGTGAGGGACAGGTGGTTTCCCCTCACCCCCTTGCAACACTGGGACTCAGACTCACGTCCACTTTGGTCTCGGTGCTCTAACTTGGGAACACTACAGCCGGGAGGCTGCATGGCCATAGTCTTTAGCCTTGGTAGTCACCTTTCTATCCCAGCTTTGGACACTACCTGCGACCACCTCTCTGCAGAGGTGGCTGTGCCCCCAGCTCCTCATGCTATATTGGTTTAGAGCAGGCACCTAGCCAACCCAGAGTCAGGGTCTCTCTTGTGGGTAGATTGGCCTCTGGAGACCATGATGGTACCCTTGAGTACAGGAATTGGCTACAAAAAGACAAAGCTCCTACTTATTTTTTTTAAACAAGTTTATTTATTGAAAGAATCTGAAAATAGTAATAAGGCCTTCATTAACAATTAACAAATTTTAAGATATTAATATGAAACATTAAGAATTTACGTGAAAACTCCATGTGTTCTAGATCAGTCTGATAGCAGCTGCTTCTAGACTTGTCAACACTTGCTTTTTAGATGCGTGACCCATGCAGACCCTGCTCTCCTCTGGGCCACACAGAGGCCTGCTGTGCCTACTGTAACAGATGAACAGCACAGATCTTGGGGACAAGCAACCGCAACTTAACAGCACTGATACCAGACCACTCAGGGATCCAGAGGTGCTGAGGTCACAAGGGCCCGGAGGTCCTGACTTTAACAGCATGGTCAGCACTAGAGTAGTTGGCGAACCCTTCTGAGCAGCACAGGACAGAAGCCTCACTTTACTCTGAAAGCCAGGCGAAGAATGGGCAGTTCTCCCTTCCTCCTCTTGCCAGAAGAGGGGAAGATGACCTAACTGCAGCACCTTGGCTGACCAGTGACTCCCACAAACGCTCTAGGGTCTGTGTGGCGTCCACATGTGTTTCTTGTGTTACATACATGTGCTGCACAGAGGGCTACAGGTGGCTGTTGCTCAGATGCAAACCTAAGACTCTTGTGGAAGGAGGACAGGCCCACAGCCTGATGTCAATAGTGAGTTGGTCTCAAAACCCTTGTGGCCACTGTGTAAGGGAAGAGTGGAAGCACGGAGCCCTGTCCCGGACACAATGTAAACACTGGACAGCAGGCAGTCCCCTCTAAATCTTCACAAAGTGTGTACAAGAAAATATGTACATAATCACTTCAGAAAGTTTAAAATAATCTCTAAAAAGTGTACACAGGATTTAAAATGTCTCGGGAGCTGCTGCCCTGCGATATGAGGAATGTGACGTTGCTGGATGGCTGTGCAAAGTGTGGCCTCTGCTCTGGGAGGAGTCAGAGGCCTTGGGCCAGACTGAAGAGGCACCTAGCCATCACATGCCTTGCCAACCCATAGCAAAGCTGACAGGTGACCCCGAGAGTTGCAGGGGAAAGGTGCAGTCCCTGGGGAAAAGCACTGCAGCTAAAGGAAGATTTCTGGCTGAGACATTTATTTCAATATCAAAGGGAAGATCAATTCATTCTGACCCCCTCAGAATTTCAACAGACTGATTTATGGGAATTCCTGACCTGGGATCTCAGGGGGCCCATGGGAGAGATGTAGGACACCCAGCCCAGTTCTCATTTTGCTCCTTTAGAAATGAAAAAAGAGGTTTAAAAACATTAAAAAGCTGATCTCTTCTTCAAAAGGCAGACCCAAGCTCTCCCAGCAAGGCAGGCAGGACACAGAGATCCTGGACAGCCATGTGGTTGGTCAAAGCCAGGTCAGCCAGAAGGCCAGCAGGAGAGCCAGAGAAGGAAGGCCCCCAAGGGCTTGAGGGCTCAGGTCAGAGGCTGGCAAGTGAGGCCTAGCTGTCCTCCTCGTCCTGGTCCTCATCCTCCGGGAAGTGAGCTTGCTTCTTCCGAACATTCCAGTGCAGACACTGGGCAAGGCTCTCAAACCAGTCACTCACAGGGTCACACACACAGATAGAGGGCAGCGGGTAGCAGGAGGTGGTGATGCTGATGCTTTGAAGGAAAAAGAAATACGTCTGTGTAAGCCGGGTGACTTTTCAAGTAACAAACTACTCTCCCTAGGTCAAGGCCCTCTCCCAGGGTCTCACTTTGTCCAAATGGAAGCAGCCACCCTGGATCCTGAGAGGATCAGAGAGACTCTGTCCCTGTTTTCACCAGGTCTCTGGCTCTCAGGGGTCCAGGCAACTTCTCCTGAGGTGAGGCAGGGTGGGGACTTTAGAATGACCAGGCCAATACATAAGCAGCTCTGCTGGTCCATCCTAGAGCCTGTGACTGCTGTTGGCAGCACACCCACACATCCAGGAAGAGGAGGGGCTAGCCTGAGTCGGTGCACTGCTATCTGAGGCTATGGACCACTCATCTGCAGGTGCTGCAGGTCACAGGCAGTGCAACAGCCTTGCCAGGGGTGACTTTCCCTAGATCTAGGCTCAGACCAGTCCAGTCTCTGTGTATAACAAGAACCAAGGGGCATGGCCTTGCTACAAGCCTACTACATCTACACATGACTGGGCTTTGTAACAGGCCACCACTAGCGACCAATACCACACGATAGAAAACAAGGTCAGCCCACGCCCAGCACTGCGGCCCCACACCTGTCTCCATGGCGTATTTCCTGCCTCTTCCGTCCATCAAACGACACCCATGCAGTGTTCCTGGCCTCTGGTGACAGCATAATCTAAGGGTGGAACAGGAACAAAAGTGGGCTCTAGGCATGCAGGGTCCTCCGGAGTTCCTGTACGGAACAACTTCAGCCTCACATTGGTGCTCTAAGACTGGCAGCTACCTCCTAGACGTGGTCATTAGAACTCACACTAGTGACAAACTAGCCTGAGTGGCCTGTGATGAGGTCATAGAAAAATGAGGCTGGGCTGGACACTCAGAGGTCAGCCAGAGACCAGGTCAAAGGTTCTGTGGAGGGCTGGAGAGATGGCTCAGTGGTTAAGAGCATTGCCTGCTTTTCCAAAGGTCCTGAGTTCAATTCCCAGCAACCACATGGTGGCTCACAACCATCTGTAATGAGGTCTGGTGCCCTCTTCTGGCCTGCAGACATATACACAGACAGAACATTGTATACATAATAAATAAATATTTAAAAAAAAAAAAGGTTCTGTGGAGGACACCAATCAGGGGTCTTTCATCACAGAGACACTTTCGTCATTCCCTCCCAACGGGGCCCATCCCTACTACTTGCAACTGAGAGCCCTGCATGGAGGGCTGGCCAGCTCTCTGTGCCATCAGAGACCATGGACAGAGGCAAAGCTAGCTGAGAGGCAGGGCTCCCATCTGAAGGTGCTGGGAGTGGCATTGTCTTTTGGAGGTGGCAGGTGCTGAGGGAGTGACAATTGCTTTTTGCTGGCTCAGGGTCAAGACTCACAGACCAGAGGAGATACAGGGAGACTGCTCTGACCTTCAGCTCGACCCCTGCTGGGACCACGATGGGCCGGAATGACAGCGAGTGGGGGCAGATGGGCGTAACCATGATGGCCGGCACGTTGGGGTGGACCATGGAAGCCCCGGCTGCAGCTGCATATGCTGTGCTGCCTGTCGGGGTGGACACGATCACGCCATCGCCCTGCACAGTGGTGATGAGGTGTCCGTCCAGGTAGACATCTACGTTCGACAGGTATGAGGAGGGGCCTCTGTCGATCACCACTTCATTCAAGACCTGGAAGAGATGGCAAGGCCATGGCACTACCATAAGCACTTACGGTGCACCCGAAGTTTCTTACCCTAGTGTCAGGGATCCCAGCCCGAGTGCACCCCACCCTGATCCCTTGCTGGGGACGTCTCCACAGACCTGGTACTGCATGGCCTGCTTTCCGCCCTCTGGGTCCAGGCCGTTCTCACTGAGGCCATTATGGATGGCTCTCTTCTTGTCTCTGGGCTCTTTCACCACCCTGACCTTCAGCCGGCTCCTCAGGATGACCGCGGCATTCCCTGGGGTCAGCAGGATCCAGCTCAGGGAGGCTGGGACCCTTCACCTTTCTGTTCTACGCCAGTGACCTCAGTGCATTCCACCAAAGCCACCCTGAGCAGCCATGTGCTGCCAGATTTCCCACTTTAGTAAGGAGTGTTTGAAATATCTGAAATTTAGAAATCTCTAAATCTTGAAACTACATCATTAAATAACAAATATGAAAAAAAAAACAGAACAAAAAAAACCCCAAGGGGGCTGGAGACATGGCTCAGTGGTTAAGAGCACTGGCTGCTTTTAAAGAAGACCCAGTTTCAATTCCCAGCTCTCATACGGTGGATCACAACCATCTGTAACTCCAGTCCCAGAGGATCCCACACCTCCATGGGCACAAGGCATACATGTGGTACATAGACATACTTGCAGGCAAAATACTTATACACATAAAATTAAAAAATAAAAACAGCAGCAACAAAAACATAACCAAGGAGGAGGTAAACCCTGAGCTGTTTTGAGAGATCCAGAACATTCCAACTTACCCTCTATCACCTGATTCACTTGGGATTGGAAGTTCTCAAAGTTGAACGGGGTCAGGAAGCCCAGGGAGCCAAGGTGGAAGGCCATAACAGGAGGCACACTGCCCTGTGGGTGAGGAGACCAGGTGGCATTGCTGGGCTACCCAGGAAACACCAAACTGCCGATAGCTGTGGACCCTGGGGATGGGTAGGCATGAGCAAGGCAAGAGGTGGAAGAGCCAGAACAGGGCAGGATGGTGCCATCTCCCCAAGAAGTGAGAACAAGGTGGGAAGGGCCAAAAAGAAACAAAAGTAACAAGCCCAGACCAGCTCACTGGTCACATAGGAAAGATGTGGCTACAGAAATACAAAGGCTAGAAGGTAGGCAGACTTGGCAGAGACCTGGTGGATGGAAGAAGAAAAATGGAGATTGTTTAGGCCCCATTAGGCCCCATCTGAATACAAACGGGGCTGAGCAAAAACCAAGGTTCAAGTACAAGTTGTCTGCAGCCTGTGGCCAGAAACTTCTGCAGCAAAGCACAGATGACAGCTTGCTGGGAGAACCCCAGTCCCCACTTCCACCCCCAGCTCCACGCAGCTAGAGGGGCTCTGCCCTGGTAGCCCTCTAGGGTACCGAATGCCCACTCTTCTAGCACACCATGGGCCAGCTCCTACCTTGCTGAGGGTGAGACCAGAGAGGTTCCAATGTCTCCTTGCTGCCCTTACCAGCCTGGGACTTTGGCTTCTGGACTAGTTCCGCAGTACCAGGTCTCTCCCAGAGGGTCTGGTCTGTGGCCACGTGGTCACCCTTCAGGGAGTCTCCCCACACTACTTACTGCTCTCCCTCCTTGGCCAGCCCAGCACTGTCAGAGCATGTCCATTCATCTCTAGTCACCCCAGGAGACTAGTTACCTGCAAACTTGCTTTACTGCCAGTAATTGGGCTGAAAAAAAAAAAACTTCTACCTCCTCAGAGCAGTGGTTCTCCACCTTCCTAATACTGCAATCCTTTAATATAATTCCTTATTCTTGTTGATACTTCATAACTGTAATTTTGTTACTGTTATAAATCTTACTGTAAATATCTGTGTGTTTTTTGATGGTCATAGGTAACCCCTGTGAAAGAGTTGTTTGACCCCAAAGGGGTTGTGACCCACAGGTGAGAACCACTGAAAACACCTCCTCACATTGTACCCAAACAATGCCATCAGTACCCTGAAACAGAGCCTTACCTGGAACAGAGAGGAGGCATAGAGCAGGGTGCCGTCTCCCCCGAGGCAGATGATGAAGTCTATCTGGTTGGAAATGTCGTCATAATCTAGAGGGCAGACACAAATCTTGGGAACTGTTGTCATACACAGCCCTAGTGCCCAAGCATGCAGATGCCAACAATGGCAGAATGCTCATGGCTTCTGCCAACTGAGAGAGGTCGAGACAGCACACCTTCACGGAAAGTGCAGAACTTCTTCTTCACTGGTCCAAAGCTTTCATCACTCACTATAGCAGGGTCTTCCAGCACTTTCTTTTCCACATACACGATCATGTTGTTCTCCTGGAAGTAAAGTATACATGGGAGCCCCCACACAGCCCTCAGTAGCCCAGCCCAGGTCATGCTGGCTTTTCCACATTGGGTCAGGGGGGAAAAAGCTGTTTCCTTAGCTAGCAAGTCATTTCCAGCCTGCTCACTTCGTTGCTATGTAGCCAGAAACTCTGACTCATGACATCATCAAAGCTTCTTCCCAAATAGGCACTTTCTAACCTAGTGGCTCAGGAACCAGACAGCTATGCCACGATTTGGATGTGTTGAGGGTCTCCCCCAAGTCATCTACTGAAAAGCAACATGATTTTGAGGTGTTGGGGTGATTAGGAGTGAGCCCATCATGGTAGAGCCACACCACTACATTCTGACATTCTGATGGTTTCACAGGAAGGGGAAAGGGCAGAAGATGTGTAACACACCACCTCCTTCCATATGCTGTCCTATCCCTTTGGGCTCTGCAAGGAAGATGGCCAGCATCAGATGTGGCCCTGGACTTTGCTTCTCCAGAATCACAAGCTAAAACTCACCCAGACTGGGAGCTGTATTGCAGGCAACACGAAAGGGACTCAGGTGAGGGTTAAGTGCTGCAGCATGACTTAGGAGGGTTGAGGTCACAGAGCTAGCATTGCTAGTATCTTAGAAGTGGGTTAGCCAAAGGGTGGTGGTGCACAGGCCTTTAATCCCAGCACGAGAGACAGAGGGGGGGGGGGGGGGGGGGGGGGGNGCACGAGAGACAGAGGGGGGGGGGGGAGGAGGGGAGGGATGGATAGAGGGAGGGATAGATAGGCCTGTGAGTTCAAGGCCAATCTGGTTTACAAAGTGAGTTGTAGTAAGGTCAAGGCTACACAGAGAATTCCAGTGTTGAAAAACCAGAAAGGAAAACAACAACCCCCCCCCAAAAGGAAGTGGGGCAACGCCCTGGGGCAAGTTCCTCATAAACACTTGACACAGTACTACAAGACTCTCAGGAGATGCAGCTCCTCCACCTTGAGTTTCCCAGCACTGTGGGCTAGTAAGAACTTTTAAGAACGCTTCAGACAGCTAAGAAAGAGACAACCCTGGACAAGTCTCCTCCCCAACTCACCCCAAGCACAGCCCTAAACTGCTGGCCTTACCTCCATGAGGTACATGCAGAGCTCTTTGAAGGGCTGCAGTAGGCTGGCATCTCGGATCTTTTTGATGACAAGCACACTCTTGGGAGACTTGTTCCATGTCAACCGCTGGCTTGCAGGGTCCTGGATGTGCCTTTAGGGAGAGAAGAGAGCTCATACCAGCAGTCATCTTTTCCTTGAGGAAAGAAGCAGGCAATTTGGAAAAATAAAAGTAAGCACACCAAGAACTAGTTAAAATGTACTGCCAACTTGTGTGCACAGAATCAGCACCAGATCCCTCCAGGGTTGGCTGCTAGCCATCCTGCAGCCCGGAGCCAGAAACACATTGGAGCCAGAGCAACCATCCTTGAAAACCCCTTGCCCAGCTACTGTCCCCATGGCTTTGCTTAAATCCCCTTGGGCACCCTGCTGGCCAACTGTACCTGTAATCACACATGCTGTGTTCATTTCCTTCTGACACTCCCCGGTGGGAACAGGGGCGGCACAGAAGAGCAGAGGGAAAAGCCTAAGCTGTCTGTCAGTCCAGTGAGAACACCAGATCCTCTGTCCTGGGGTCTACTGTGGATGGTTTCCAGTCCCAGGACCCTTAGCGTATGTGTTTCCTTCTATGTGCATGGATGGCGTGTGGCCTACTACCTCTCGATGCCATAAACTTGGCTGGCTCTTAATTATTAACTTATTTCTCTATTCATTTATCTATTGAGACAAGTTCTTACTATGTAGCCTTGACTTGCTTGGAACTCATTATATAAGATCAGGCTGGCCTTGAAATCATAGAGCTCTACCTGCCTTTGCCTCCAGAGTGCTGGAAATAAAGGCACAACCTGGTACCATGCTTGGCCCGGTAATCTTACTTCTGAAACACCATTTTCCCTAGCCAACACAATTTCTCCCAATTAAAAAAGGCTCCATATATGGCAGTCTATGAAAACCCACTACCAACTTTTGAAATTATAACACAAACTACTAAAGACAGGTCAGAAAATGACCATTGGAACCCTGGTCACAGCACTCACCTGTTTCTGGCATTTCTGGGAGGGGAGGGGCCGCTCATAGCCACCTCTCACTCACCACCTGCCTGTAGCGCTCACGACTCCTGAGGCGGTCTCCACCTTCCAGGAGACAGCAGGCATGTCCCCAGCATTTCAGTGCTACAAGCAGACACACACAGAGCCCTGCCTGGCTACCATGCTCCTACTTGTGTGTTACACTCTAAGTCTAATTTTTGTATCTTCAAAACTGAAAGCCAAATGTAAAAGCCTTGTCACAGGTCCTACAGAAGTGTTCTCTAAACTGAGAAAATCAAATAAATAAAATGTAGACTTCCTTCTGAATATATGACCATTTTGCTTAACCATCTACTTTAAAAATGAACAAAACAGGAGGTTAACTTTAAGAGCAAAGAGGGCCAGCCTGAACTCCCTGCTCTTAGGGGAGGACCAGGACCACCTGCCTAGCAGGCCTCTGGCAGGCCACAGCGTCCTGACTGCTTAGGGAACTGGGAGCTTGGAAATGGCAGGGTCCGCCTACAGGGAGGAGTTCTCAGGCTGGCTGCAGGTGAAAGGGCTACAGGTGAAAGGCAACCACTTCCTGAATTCTGGGCTCCAGAGAATTTGAGTGATCACAACCCTCTGCCCCACCAGAGCTCCAAGTCCCCACCTTACACCCTGCCCTGCCCATGTGTGTGTCATGGCTGCCCCACGTAGGCTCAGCCCACAACTTTCAGCCCAAAAGCTCAGAAGGGTTCAGCATGCGCCACCATCATTAGTATATGCAAGTCAAGATGCCAAGCCCTCCCTGTGACCACAAACCAGTTCCTCAACTTCCTATTGGGTCACCTAAAGGGGAATGCTGGCCATTCTCGGCAGCCTGAACTTCAAGTGCCATGTGGAGCCGACAGGCCATGGCCTGTCAGAACCAGCTCTGGATGATCTGCCGCAGCAGCCAGGGATGCATGACCACTGTGGCATAACTAACAGCGGCTGAGAGTCTCACCCACCCACAGGAAAACACGGGCTCTGAAAAGTCCTCAGGATGAGCTCTAGGCTATCTTGGGAATATCTGGGAAACATATGAAGTCCTCATTCTTACAACACAGGTACTATTGCCCTACATTTACACGTGGGACGTTACAGAGACACTATGTACCCCAGAACTATGTACCCCAGAGCCCAGCAAACGACTGTAGGCAGGTTAGTGCCTGTTCTAGACACCAAGCCAGTCCCTAAAACCCACACTTGAACTTCCTAACCTCAAAGAATAGCTTGGAGGCCACTGTGTCTTGGTCTAAGTAAAACCGGCTGTGAGGGGCTGGAGCGATGGCTCAGCAGTTAAGTTCCCCGGCTGTGAGGGGCTGGAGCGGCTGTGCTGGCACACACTTGAATTCTAGCACTTGGGAGGCAGAGACAGGTGAAACTGAGTTTGAGGCCAGACTGGTCTCTAGAGGAAGTCTCAGGACAGCGAATGGCACACACTGCTCCTGCAGAGGACTTGTATTTGGTTCCCAGAACCAACATCTATTATATATTACATATATTATATATTACAACTGCCTGTGTAACTCTAGTTCCAAGGGGTCCAAAATCCTCTTCGGGCCTCCACAGGAAGCTGCATACATAGGATGAAGCAGACACACTCAGGCACATATATA